GGATTAAAGGAGATCGCCGCCGTTGAACCAAAGGGGAAGCTTAGCTGTAAGATCAACCGGCTTTCCGAATGATTCCCTCAGGAATATGCACCTCCTGAACAGCTATGACTCAGCTCTCAGTATCTCTGGTATTGAAGGGTGTCTAAGGGTCTGTCAGCAGAGGAGGGCGTGTCAGCCGTCACGCCTTGACTTGTCTGCAGACACCTGACGGGTTTGTGACACACACACAGGAGAGCAGAGACCGCAACAGACCAGTGAGCTGCTCGTCTTCTCTCTGGCTACGTTTCCTGCACTGCGGACTGTGACACGGTCTGAGCTAAAAGCAGGCCTTGGAGGAAGCTGCGGGCCTCGTGGATGTTTTTGTCTCCAGTTTCCACACAGGATGTAAATGTCGGGCTTGTAGACCAGACTGGGTGCCAGCTGCGTAAATTCAGGCCGCTCAGACACATGACACTCCAGGCTGCACGTTGACATTTGAAGCTTAGAAACGGTGTGCATCGGGTTTCGGATCGCCAGCGAGGGGTTTGACGGCCGTTTCACTGTTGAGCCGTTATTGCATCCTGAAGGCGAGACGTGTGTCTTGTGTCCTTGTTGAGTCATCAATCACATTGGAAGATTAGAACGTTTTGTTAGGCGCTCCTTAGTGTCTCCTTTCCCAGGAATGTCACCAAATCACCGTGGGCAGGTGCTGTCATCAGTGGGCTTTAGGCCCAATCACCATTTTGTTTTCCCATCCGGTGAGACGTAATGCACATTTGTTTCAATAATCCTTTTTTTTTAAAGGCACAGACTAGAAGCCCAGCATAGTGTTGCTATTTTTTAATCTCTTTATGAAGGATTTAGTCCAGGAAATATATCTTCTTAAAAACATGCAAAGGCACTTGCACACATAACCAGTCCGGCTTTAGTCCAGCGACACTGGGCCTTCTTGTCTCTGCTGGTGACTGAAATCAGAGCTTTGTGTGAAAGCACTGAAAGCAGCGCTGCCCCTCTTCTTGTCTATTGTGCAGAAAAAGGAATGCTTAGTACTTGAGTATGCGTGTGTTTTCGGCTCTTGCCAATCTTTGTCAGTAAATGACCGGGCGGAGGCTGCTGGGGCGGGTTCGCCCCAGACGAGGGCAGCTTCTTTCTCCCCAGCGTTTTGGAAAGGGATCTTTTATGCTACTTATTAATAAGATGGATGTTTATCCATTTATAAACGCTGTGCTGTCTCTCAGTGAGGACTGTTGGGGTTAAAGTGTTACGCATTTTTCAGCGGTTTATCTTTTGTCCAAGTTACTTAGTTTCAGTATTACTCACTGTTCAGGCAATGATTAGCCCCGGTAATCTTCCCACGTCTGACCTGAAACTGATTTTGGACTAGAATATAATCGCAGGATGTGGTTTGGTTTTATATTTTGGCTGTTTTGCTAGAAGTCTGTTTAAACCCTGTAGCTTTTTCACTGGGAACGCACAATTATTTATTTTTGAATATTTGATATCCCTTGCTATATATTGTGTGGCATGTATTGGTGATCCAACAGGAAAGGAGCCGGCAGCGGCCGTAGTTGAGTTGGTGAATGTTCCTTCTAAATGACACCGCTTGGGCATTTTGTACTTTGCCCCTAATAACTCTGAGATGGACTCATTAGTCATTGAAGTGCTGCTCTCTGGTAAATGGAGGTTAATATGACACTGACAGTGGATGAGCCCCCACCTCTTGAGTTTTTGTACCGAACAACAGGGTGTTTGTACTTGCAAATTTATTTGTCCCTGATTTGTTAGTTTGTTACAATTATATCTACATATAGCATGCCAGCTGTTTCAGGGGGTCCTTTTGTTAATATTGTCCATATTCAACCGTTCGATATTTTTTTTAGTGCAACTAATTCAACACACGTCTTCACAGAAACTGCTGGATGATCATTTGATTGCAAACTCCAAAGCTCCTGAGAGCAAAGTCTTCTACCTAAAGATGAAGGGGGACTACTATAGATACCTCGCTGAAGTGGCCACTGGAGAAAAGAAAGATGGTGAGTTCCCAGTTGCACTTTATTCATGCAGGAAGTTGGTGCTGGAAGTTAAGTAATGTAGGGCTATTCTCTTATTCGCCTTGGGTGCTTGAATCCAATTAAAGAATTCTGTGGGCTGGCAGACGTTCAGCATGCGCTTTTAAAATGATTCAAGTCTGTGCAAAAGGGTGACACACAACTGCCCGCAAACGTTGGGACTGTACAGTTGAACTATTGCTTTACAGTCATGTTTCATCCAGTGTGAAGCTGGGAGAAGAGAAACTGTCATTTACCAAAAAAACATGTTGCTACTGAAATGCCATCATTTTTGCTAATAATGAAGGAAAAAACATATTTGCTTTGAGTAGACTTTGACATGCGTATACTGACCGGTCTGATTCCTTCCTCCGTCCCCAGAGACTATTGTAACATCACAGCAAGCATACCAGGAAGCATTTGACATCAGCAAGACTGAGATGGACTCCACACATCCCATCCGCTTGGGCCTGGCGCTTAACTTCTCAGTCTTCTACTACGAGATCCTTAACTCTCCACATAAAGCCTGTGACTTGGCTAAAGCGGTTTGCAGACTTTCTTTCCTAAATCTGTCACCTTTCCATGTCTGACGTTGAACCATGTTGTAACCTTTTTAATATTCTTTTCTCTTTCTCAACATGCAGGCATTCGATGATGCCATTGCAGAGCTCGACCAGCTAAATGAGGAGTCCTATAAAGACAGCACTCTTATCATGCAGCTCCTCAGAGACAACCTGACAGTGAGTGCTCTTTTATTTATCATAATGCACTAAAACGAGCTTCACTGTGTAAGAAATGGGGGTTTAGTTTTCAGTTTAGAAGCGTATTTTGATCAAAAGACAAACTAATTAGTTGCCTCATTTGACGGCAATGACAAAAAGGCGTGCCGTTTTGTAAGGGTTGAGACAAATAGGTAAAATGGCACAAACATCTGGACGCTCTTTCCTTTGAGGCCTTCATCCTGGTTAATGCGGTAATAAAAAGGTATTTACTGTCGAATGACAAGTCAATTTGAACGATAATTCAACAAGATTCAGAATGTTGAAGGAGTTTGAATATGTGCCTGTGCCTTTTTTATTTATTTATTTTTAAATCTCTGTTTTTAACAAATGTTTGTTTCTGTTTCTATCTTCAGTTATGGACATCGGACACCACCGCTGAAGAGGGTGAGGGGGGAGAAGGCGGAGAGCAAGTGGAGAATGAGAACTAAAACAAAACAAAAGAAACACAAGTCCTCTGTTGGGGTCCTCTCCAAAAAACAACAAAAGGAATAAAAAAAAAAAACTTTTTACACATCCTTCATTCCTTTTATTGCTCCACTCAAACATTCTACCAATGAAACCCATTGCTGAAAAGAGTAATGCAAGAAAATAAATATTAAGAAAACTAAAAAATATATTATTTTCACATAGTTGATTTGGACAACTGTCCAAACCCTCATTGGATTGGTTTGGTTTAGGTTTTTTCTAGACTTCCCCATTTGTGCAGTTTCAGCTGTAGAAAAGTGATTGATAGCTTGACGTGATATCAGACCGCCCAGTAAAGTAAACATGCATCCCACTATTGGTTAAATGGAAACTCCAATCCCACCTTCCTGAGACCATTTGCATATTTTTTCAGTAATACATTTTAATTTCCACAAGTAGAAACCCACTCAATACATTTCTTTTTTTTTTTTTTTTTTTTTTTTTTTTTTTAAAAGCGTCTGTCTCTACACAGTTAACGTGGTACGGTTACAGCAGCTGAAGTCCAACTTCAAACGGATAACATTTTCATATTGCAGGGAAAGCTAGTGCACTTTACATGCTGGCGACATACTACAATACAGCCAAGTAGTGCCAATTTGTTAAACCTTCACTTTCTGCCCTGATTATGATGCCACTCTTTCACTGAAGCATGCCTGTTGTTTGGGGGGGCTTGGGATGGCGGGGCGTGTCTGCTCAGATGCAGGGACCTTTTCAATGGGAAGAAGACAATTCTGTCATGCATGTCTCTTGAGATATTACACTGGAATTGGAACAAATGCTGTAAACACATAAGTTCAAGTGTCAAGTTTGGTGATTTTTAAATGCAGGTTTGTACACATCCTACAAATGGGTGATTTGTTAGTCTGTCCAGTGATTTTGTCATTAGAGATTTGGACCACTATTGTTTTGCTATTCATTCAATTGTTGTCCCCAAAAGCCTTGTGGAACTGTTTTGAATCCCTATGTATCAGCTATGTTAACATGAATAAAACATTTTATAAACCAAGCATTTCTTTATTTTATTTGAGCAATAATGCACTGTGGAAGCTTGTGAATTCCCTGAATCTAGTGGGCCTTTTTCTTTATTTGTTCGACTGAAATCTTGGGCCTGGCAGGAGATTTTACAAATACATGTTGCTTATATTGTAAGTAAATTCACACAATTTGACAATTTTCATTGAATTTTTCTGTTGACGTGCCAGCGTGTTGATACAATTCTGAGGGGATATTTGAAATTTTCTGAATTCCCTACTGACTTTCCTTAGTCGATGGCAAAAAAAAAATACATGCCTTTGGAATGGCTTTTGTTTGTGAATATTCATATATATATAAAATGGTACACAATCTTATTAATCCATTACAGAGGAAACCACTGTAGTTGTAATAGCTGTAGACAATATCAGGACAAAGTTACCTAGTGTTTATTGCTGCTTTTACTTGACCCTGGCGTTAGTTAACAACCCTTTAGTCCCATGGGTGGGTACCAGGATGCTGTAGCATCAAACCCATCCGCCGTCTCTCAATTACATCCACGTACCAATGTTTGAATGTCATTTCCAGGCTCAAAACGTCCTCCAAATTCTTCCTCTGGTAAATGCACCTTAAATGTTGGTCTGCAGTCAGCCAATACATCAATGAAGGAAGAAGAACCCCCCCCCCGCCCCCGGTCCGAGGCGTATTGGGTGACTTTGGGATCCGGGCTGTAGCTTCCTTGTCTCACACACCCTCCAAACTCCCATGTGAGCGGATGTCGTGCACTTCCGGTTGTCACCGCTAGCTGTTAGCCGTCCGCACTGACCGAATGAATTGTGACAATGACGGCACTAGAATAGGAGACTGAAAATGAGGGTTGTGCTGATAGTCGCCTTTCTGGCTCCTTGTTGGGTCAATTGTGCTATTAAATCGAGAGTTGTTGCGGAAGAGAAGCACGAAGAAAACCCGGAATCCGGTGAGTGAGTTGAGCAAGCTAACGCCTGCTAGCGTTAGCTTGACGCTAAATGTTATTGCTAACGTTAAGTTAGTGAACTTAATGTTAACTGTTTTGTTAACTATTATTACCGTTACTTCGAGCCATACGTGTTGGTTATTTAGTGTGATTATCAGTACTGCCATTTGTCCTGTTGAATCACCGAGGCCTGGTCATTTGCTGACGTTTAAATAAAACAATATCAGGCTAAAACGCGAATAGTCCGCTCTATACTGTTGCATTTGAGCGCTTTAAAGCGGATTCAAATTAACCTCAACACAACGGTTAACTGTTCATTCTGCGTCTTTGGGTTCGACCATTGTTTCTCTCCCCTCAATGATTTTTTCCGTTTATTCCAGATGCTCTGAGCTCCATCCTGTCAGATTTCGAGGTGCTGCCCTGGTCCGGCCTCCAGCTGCACTCGGTGCGCAAGAGGGACGTGCAGGCGCGGTCCCACCTGGAGCGCCTCGTGAGCTTCAGAGCCCTGCACAGGTGATGCTGCAGCAACACTCCTGCACAACCGAGGACAGCTGTTTTTGATCTTTTGGAGTGAAAGGGCAGGATGTGTTTGCATATTTACTTTCACACTGGCTGTCGAGAGATCTCTTCGGAGCGGATCTTCCAATATGAAGCCCAACTCGCATCACACTTTTGGTTTGAGGGTAAATGTGCTACACTAGATATAAACAGTTAACCGTTTAAATGTTTGTGTGAAGACAAAAAAAAGGAGGTCATACCATGGTTTGCAAATGTTACGTTGCTCTCAGATTCATTTAGAGTGGGTCTAGCTACCACAGCTTGTATCCACTCACACACGGTGTTGTTGTGAAATGCGTGTCGTAAATATCAAGAGGAAATGCGTTTCCACCGTTGCTGTGGCTGTGCTGCTTAAACCAGCGGAGCATCGATACTTTGCCAGCTAAATAGTCTGTTTTGAAACATAAGCAGCACTTTTGTACTCCACAAGACAGATGATATTCCCTCTTTGTTACTCCCTTTCCACTTAAACTTAGCAAGAAACTATGTCAATTGAAACCAAAACAAAAAAACACTTACAATTACAGCAAAACAATCAATGATCGGACCATAACAGATCATTTGAACAATAAGATTCATGGTTTCCCACGATTCTTTTGTTACTAAATTGCCACTAAAAGCAGCTATGTGATGATGTTTTAAGTTAATGTAGATGTGGTTTGTCGTATTTTCTTTTTTCAGACAGTTCAAGCTTTACTTGACCACCAACACAGACCTTTTCACTGACAACTTCAAAGCTGTGTTTGTTGATCAACACGGGAAGGAGGATAACTACAATGTTAATCTTCAGAACTACTTCACTGGACATGTTGTTGGTAAGTGTTGTTCTAGAATGAGGTTGTCCTTTTCTGTAGTTTTTGAATAAGACACATCTGATTTGATACCTGTTTGTCGGGCTGATGCCAATTGTGTAAGATAATTCTGAATATATTGACAAACACAACATATGTCATTCTTTTAATACAAGTCACCTTATTTGTTTTTGCAGGAGAGCAGAATTCCCGTGTGCAGGCACATATAGAAGGGGATGAGTTTTCTGCTCACATCCTAACTGATCAAGCTGAGTACAACGTAGAGGTAAGAAGCGGTTCGTTTGGTCTCGCTGTCATTCATTGATAGTATCTTTGATATATTCTTCAACCTCTTTTTACCCCATTCTCTCTTCTCCACGCGACCCTCTCTTATTGCTCCTCTTGTTTTTGGCCATCTAGCCCCTGTGGAGGTTTACAGATTCCCCAGCTGATGGCAGACTGCTGGTTTACCGCTCCGACGACATCAAGAACCTGAGCCGCATCCTCTCCCCGAAAGTGTGCGGTTACCTTCACGCGGAGGCTTCAGACTTGCTGCCCCGGAACGGGCACGAGGAAGAGGAGGAGGTCCAGGAAGGGGGTGATTTCTGCTGTCTGTTTTTCTCACGAGGAGTGGAGGGCCTCGTGTGTGTGTGTGTGTGTGTGTGTGTGTGTGTGTGTGTGTGTGTGTGTGTGTGTGTGTGTGTGTGTGTGTGTGTGTGTGTGTGTGTGTGTGTGTGTGTGTGTGTTCTCACATTTGTACTGGAAATGTGTAGGAAGAGGATGGTGTACGAGAGCATCAATTACACCAGGCCAAAGCTACACACATTCAGTAAACACTGTTGACACGGGGGGGGGGTATTACGTAACATCCAAATGCCCTCTGATTACGTTGTGCTGGGAATGCAAATCCTATGGCAGAGATACTGTGCAAGAGATGTTTTGAACACCTCTCACTGGCAAAAACACTCACTGGGGATATAAGTTGAGGTGAAGGTTCTCATGGAGGAGGCATTATAATTCATGGGGCCTCTGCTGTTCAATGAGCGGACTCTTGAGTCGTCACTGGTCTCCCACTGCTTGTTGTGGAAGCCGAGGCAGCACGCACCCACACATAGAAAGCCACGTGTATGATGTAATGCTCAAATGGGACGTCTTCCGAGCTGCTTTTCTTTTCTGTGGCAGTCAGATTAAACAGCTCTTTACTTTTAGGATTTACTGCTAAATGTATTTCTAAATATCTCTATTAGCAATTTAAGACCCCTCAATTGCCACTGGAAAACGCTGAAGGGCATTAAAGGGGGATGGGGAGGCGGCTGGATGTGAAGGTTTCGGCTGTAGCTTTATAAATGGGCAGCCTAGTTTTCTATGCTTGTATAAACTGCAGACCCCATTCACACTTAATGTTCGCAGGCAAACAGAAAAGGAAAAAAAAGACCTGCTGCTAAATTTGAAAATGAGGGATATTAACAATTGGATATTGAAGCATGGCGTCATTGTTTATCTCTTCATGCATCTCTCTTTAAGTTCACCCATGTCTGTTTAAATAAGTTAATGCTTTAAAAAAGATTGTTACAACGTATTCTTTTCTTCTCTTTGTGCGACCATTTTTCTTTATCTATACTGTCTCTCTCTCTCTCTCTCTCTCTCTCTCCGTCTGCTCCTGCTGTTTCTTCCTCACAGGGCACCACCGCAGAGAGAAGAGACAGACTCATGATCATAAGAAGAATACCTGCCCCCTCTTGCTGGTGGCAGATTACCGTTTCTTCAAACACATGGGCCGCGGACAAGAGAGCGTCACTCTCAACTACCTGGTCCGTCTTTTATCATGCTAGAAAGAATCCACCGTATGAACATTTAACGTGCATCCAAAGTGTATCGCATTGAAACCATTCTTGTTTTCTGGTTTATTGTTTTTTCCTGCGCTCAGATCGAGCTGATCGATCGAGTAGATGATATTTATAGGAACACGACCTGGGACGATGAATTCAAAGGCTACGGGGTCCAGATCCATCAGGTATGAAACAATTGATGGTGTTTAAGCAGGCAGACGTCCCTGCTCCCAGCGGCATGATTGCTTTAATCTACATCAAGACACGAGCTGAGAATAACACTGTCTCTCAGTGTGTTTTAGAAATGCATTTTGAGCAGGAACTGAGAGCTTTTGTGTTTTCCCCGTGGGGTAATTTAATTTGTTCCACGGGCTCTGCGAATGAATGGAGGTACTGTGTACTCCCGGTTTTTCTCACTGAAAAGATATGCACTCATTTAGCTGCTCTGGGTCATTGTCCAATTTTCTCCTCCACACATGTCAAGAAGAACTTGTAACGCTCTGTGAATCCCAACACCTATTTTAGGAAAGAAAAATGGCTTGAATTTGAACCCCTATAACAGGGGCGGGAAAACTTTTTGGCTCAGGGGCGACATTGACTTGTCAACCAATATAAATTATAAGTAAAAGCCAATAACTAAAAAGTAAAGTGAACTCATTTTTACATTGCATTTCAGTGGGAACAGTGTGGTTGGTCCCCCTTGCTCTATCTTGCCAGTGCATGATATGTCAGCTTTGTTCTGGCAATTCTCAGGACAATTGTTACAGCGGTCGTTATAATTCATAATACTCGGCAGGCCGGATCAAAACGCCCAACGTGCCGGGTCTGGCCCGCGGACCGTAGTTTGCCCACCCCTGCCCTATAAGATGCTGTGTGACTGACAGTTACATGTTCCCACTGTCAAGGCCATTCCTGACAGGCTATGGTGCAGGTGAACGTAAAGTGAGGGGGGAAAATAAATCTTAAGTATGGTCTACATCCTAAAATCTGGACTGTACCGTGTTTCACACATTAATTGTGAGCCAGTACATAAATAGGTGTGTTGAATTGTTTCTTTTGATTTGCCGGTCTCAGATCATCATCAACAAAGAGCCTACAAAGCCCCCCGTTGGCATTGGAGGGTGGGTCCACTACAACATGGAGAACAGCCCCGTGAAAGGAAGAGAGGTCTGGGACGTGAAGAGGCTTCTGGAGGTAGGAACGCAGGACCAAGAGAAGGGTGTACATGTCGTTTGGGAAATACTATGGGTCCCTTTCAAGGCAGAACCACAGGACTGCCACTGGATACGTTTTGGGAAGATTAAATGTAATTGACAAATGTGTAAAATGTACAAAGCGGCTCCAGAAGCTTAACTAACTTAAGTGGATAAGTAGCAAGAAATGCTAGTTTAAGAATGTCACAGATCTATCTAGGTCATTTGGGTAAAAAATAATGAATAAGTACATATAAATGTCCTGCTCACTAGAAACCTTGCTCAAAATACTTGGAAAAGGAAGAAGTAATAAATGTTTTAGATGTGACTTGTGATGGTTGCATATCTGATTGTTAATGTCCTCGTCTTAAAGAGTTCATAAAGTCTGGGTCAATCTCGGTGAGACGTCCTTTAGAAGGAAAGGGGGGGGAAACTAACTTTGACGAATTCAAATTTTGACACTTCTCTTCTCCCTCAGCAATTTAGCTCAGACTTGGCTGACAACGCGTCCACCGTGTGTCTGGCACACCTGTTCACCTACCAGGATTTCGATGAGGGCACACTGGGGCTCGCCTACGTGGCCCCTTCCAAACCTCAAGCCCTGGGCGGCCTCTGCCCAAAACGTAAGGACCCATCGCCGAGTGGCCAAATAGCTTGGTTTTTACCCCACTGAGCTTTTGAAAAGCCAAGCTGACACCTTGCGTTGCTTTTCCTTTTTTTTTCGTAGCGTACTTCCCATCTCACTCTGTGAAGAAGGCCAGTTACCTGAACACAGGTCTGACCAGCACCAAGAACTACGGCAAAACCATCCTAACAAAGGTCTGGTTCCCCTCGCTGTCAATAACCAGCCTAGAGACGACAAATCACTGGTTGTGTTTTTTTTATTCTTGATTTGAAACTACAATAAATGATATGCATACAACAAAAAGCTTGTCTGTGCCCACGTCAGGAGGCAGACTTGGTGACCACTCACGAGCTCGGCCACAACTTTGGAGCGGAGCACGATCCCGACAACGTCCCTTACTGCGCTCCCAGTGACGACCACGGGGGGAAGTTCGTCATGTACCCCATCGCTGTGAGCGGAGACCATGTCAACAACAAGGTACCCTCGCAAATAGGGAACGAGGGAAAGTGCTACTGTGAAAATATCTGCTTTGTATTTGTTGCGACTTGAAACTAGACCCTCTTAAGATATCTGTGAGGCCTAAAACCCAAACGTGCGTACAGAAAAGTATGCATTAGTTACAGTTTGAGTTCAAACTACACTTGGGAATCAACATTGTTGACTTTGTACGTTATTTGTATGCAAATATTTATTTATGGAAATAGCTTTTAATTATTTCTTTTTTTTAATCAGGATATTTACATATTTTACATTTTTGATTCTAGTGTTTTGGCTCTTTCTATGTGTCACATTTGAGCATGAAGCCTCCATTCTTAGACATCTAACCCTCGTCTGTTTCTACTTTCTCCGGAAGCGCTTCTCCAACTGCAGCAAGATCTCCGTAGGGAAGACGTTGCGTTCCAAGGCTCCGATGTGCTTCAAGGAGAGGAACAGTAGGGTATGTGGGAACTCCCGAGTTGAGACTGACGAGGACTGCGACCCGGGCCTCCTCCACCTGAACGACGACCCCTGCTGCTCAGCCGACTGCAAATTCAAAAGTGGCGCACAGTGCAGGTACGAGGCGCAAGGCATTTGAAGATGGCTGCAAATCCGACTGGTGTTGGTTTGAAATGCACGTCCGTTGACGTGCGTCTGTTCTCTCCACAGTGACAGAAACAGCCCTTGTTGTAAGAAGTGCATGTTTGAGCAGGCAGGAATAAGGTGCCAGGAACCCATCAGCGCCACCTGTAAAGGCATATCTTCTTGCACAGGTGGGCGCCTCCTGCTGGTCTAATCCAGGATCTGCAGTGATCACTGGAACACTGTTTTAATATTTTCTGTCATTTTTGAAAAATTTGTCAAAATGACAAATATTTTGAAATACCATTTTCTCTTCCCCCTCCCTCCCTCACATGTTAGGCAACAGCAGTCACTGTCCGCCTCCCGAAAACGCCAACGACAACACTGTGTGCGTTGACAACGGCCGGTGTCTCAATGGGGACTGCAACCCTTTCTGTGAGGCCATGCAGAACCTGCAGTCCTGTGCCTGCAATGGTGAGGAGCAGCTCATTTCTCACAAGATCGGCGAAAAAAACACGCCGCATTTCAGGCGGATTGACTTTGCATCCCACTAATCAGAACAGCGGATTACAAAAGAGTGTACCACAGACGCTTTATGGCATACTATACAATAACCTATGTATTGGCCTATTTATGAAGAACTGTATGGGACTATGTGTGGGACTATGTTAATGCTTTTATTCCTCTTAGTACACATCTTCACACACTTTTTTTTATGAATCTGTTTATTTTATACTGGCATATTTTATTATACTATACAATGACACATTTAAGACCTTTTTTATCTTTATGTCAAACTCTACTATGATATTTTAATGACATTTGTTATGCCATTTTATGGGATACTATTTATGGCCCACTATACTTGTTATGACATACTAAACTCATGTATGTTATGACATGTATGTTATAACATTTTTATGATGGGCAGATTTTTATTGCATACCATTATCATTCTATGACATACTCTAATACTCACTCACTCAACCATGACTGCTTTACTATTACATTCTACAGTACAGTAACATTTGGCATACTAGTTGTTAACATCTTTAGGGACTCAATAACATTTTACACTGTCACTGCTGTCTTTCATGATATATTTATGACATGGTGTTGTAGGACATTTTTGAACATGCTAGACTATCATCCTATCAAAGTGCCAGCGGCTCAATAAAACAGGACATTTCTCACCTGTTTGAATAAATGTTTTGCTAATACGATTATTTTGCAAGCATGTTGATCCCCTCGTCCCTCTGCAGAGACGGAGGACTCCTGTAAAGTATGCTGCAGGGGAAAAGGCGGCGCCTGCTCTCCATTCGGCCAGCTCAACGGCAGCTTTATTTTTCTGCGCAAAGGGAAACCCTGCACTGTGGGTTTCTGTGACGGAAGCGTGAGTCATCCATCTTCTATATCCCTTCACTCTGACCCGACCATGTTTCCACCTTGCTTTGGTTTTGTGTTGGATTCTCTAGCACAGTCCAGCTCTGAAAGGTGCACATTGAGTTTGATGGCGCCTCATTCGGCTCTTTGGATATGTAGTGTCAACTCTCTCGTTAAAACAGGGAAAGTGCATGAAGCAGGTGCAGGACGTGATCGAGAGGCTGTGGGATTTTATCGACAAGCTGGACATTAACACATTTGGTAAGTTGGTATAAGTAAGCCGCATCGACATCACCCGTTTGAGTATTTGAAAGTCAGTCTTGTTTGCAGTATTCTTGTCCCTCTGCTTACCTTAACGTTTTTGTTCTACCCCGTCCTTCAGGGAAGTTCCTGGCCGATAACATCGTGGGCTCCGTTGTGGTGTTTTCACTCATCTTCTGGATTCCTCTCAGCATCTTAGTTCACTGTGTGGTAAGAGTCTATCTACACAAGTTACCGTTTTGCTTGACGGCTCCTTTTTGGGGTTCCATTTGACGTTAGATCTCATCTTTACAGTAAATACCTAGATTGCTTTTTTAAAAGCTGATCATCCTGTCCTTTCTTTTTGTGTGTTTCCTCCGCAGGATAAGCGACTCGACGAGCAGTATGAAGATAACACCAAAATCTTCTACCGCCCTCCAAGCGTGAGTTGCTCTTCTCTCAAGCCTTTGTATGAGCCTGTGCCTTGCTGCAACACTAACCAAACTAATGCTGCCCCACGAGGCTTTTTGTTTAAACACACTGTCATGTTCAATACGCGAGGGAGCGGAAAGAATGGCGGTTTATTGTTCGCCTGAAGGCATTTGCCTCTTTGCTGAATCTATGTCTAGATCGCTGCATCATTTGTGGATGTTAAAAGAGGTGCTAGAAAATGTGCATTCAGCAACAATGCTGCTCGGTGGGAAAGTATATAGGATTCAATTAACAACATCATCAAAATAAGGATTTACTGAAAAATATTTTGACAATGGAGAAAATCAAGAATATTAACTACGAGCTGTTATACAACTGGCTTTTACAATCCCTTTTCTATTTTTTATTAAATGGCCCTGAAAACATTTTTTTTGTCAGTCAGGGCTTTAAACTTATCATAATGTGGTAAAGTTGAATCGGTTGCTCATGAAAATCCCTTGTACTTATTAAATTAGCGTTTGAGTGTTAAAGAGAGAGATAGATATAACATCCAAGGATTTCTCTTTCAACAACGTGACCTCGATTGTTGTGCATAAATATGAATCTTTGACGTTACGGAGAAAGACGTCAGCTTTGAAACCAAATGATCAGGCTCCAATAACTGCTTTTTATGGCGTCCCAGTAGCACACAATGCCCTATTTGGTATTTTGACACAGTATTTATGGTCTACTGGGCTTCGCCTCGAAGGTGAGAGCTCAGATTCATAAAGGATTCATAATCCATAAGGGCGTCACCCTCACTGCGCCACGTCCAAACTGCGAATGACCTGTCCATCACTCTTTGCCTTGGCTCCTTTCCATTGTCGTTGGAACTGCAGCAGATGGTGGAAGTTTGTAGTAGAGCTCCGGCCATAGGTGAGTGCCATGGCTTGGTGTTGCGTTTGCCATTGAGTCCATGACGATGCATGGCCATTGGCCCACGTTTGGGATACTTCCTGCAGTCACTTTCTCCTTGATGTAACCACTGATCAGGTTTTACATTTCCCAGCCCTCAACACCCTCCTGCTCCTTTCACCCGGAGAGACGAAGTGAAACGGGCTCAAACTGAGGCTAATGCATGTGAGTGGAGGGATGTCGGCGTGCTCCTCTGCACAGAGCCTGAGCTGATCAGAAATTACCTCGAGAAAGCCAGACTGCATTTTGGGAGTATTCAAATAGAAAGAGGACTGAACGGGTGGCACCTTGTTGTCTTTTGTGAAATCCGGTGCAGTGTGTTTTATTATTTTAAGTTTGCATCTCCTGCTGTTGAAGTCCAACAATAAGAGGGTAAAATAACCCTTAGTTGATTGTTCTTTTGATTTATCTTCTTTTTTTTCTCTTTCATTTTGTCTTTGCTGTCTGGATTGATTGTTTGTTTTAGGTTTGATTGGGAACACGTGGAGACTGAGGCTGGATTCAAATCGTCAAAAAGAATGACCTCTTGACCTCTGTGGAAAACATCACGGGGTCAAGGAAAACTGGTTAGGAAAATTAGCTAAGTAGGAAAGCATTAAAGCTTCCTTAGCATTAGAGAAGTCAAACAGCTCTTATCATGACGGTTACTTAAGGGTCATTTTACGCAATTAGGAACCTTACTAAGAAAATTAAAAAATTTGAATCCAGCCACAGTACATTTCTCTTTGTCACGGTGGACATTTTGACTGGTTATTGCAGCTACATAATCAACTAATTGCAACTAATCACATTAATGATGGCCCCATTTTAAGTGTAACATTAGGTCCTGCATGCACAAACCGGGCTCCTGTGCTCCTATATGGACTGTGGACATTATCAGTGTTGGTCACATCTCTGTTTGACAACACAGAGTCCAGTAGGTTTGTTTTACTCACTCATTGGTGCTGATAATGGCAAGAATGGCAGTTTGTTTCTAACTTTCTCTTATTATAAAATGCCATGAGTTTGGATGATTCACTTTTAAACTTTAATGAATTAGTTCACCATGAAACTGATTAAAAGGGGATGGATCCTCAGTCAGAGACGCTCGGCTTTGACGTGCTGCGGTTTCACGTGTTTTTTCTTGCTTCTTCAGAGTCAAGAAATGCTGAACAACCTCGAGTCGGCGTCCGTGCGCATCGTCAAACCTCCTCCGCCTCCCTCCTCCTGCGCCGGCCGGATCGCGCCCTCCTCCCCGCCCCTGCAGCAGAGCCAGGCAGGGGCCTCCCCCGCGGCCAGCACCAGTACCCAGGCCCCCGGGCCGAGCTGCGGCCTCACCCCGGACAGCGCGGGGGGGCCGCGGATGGCCACCATCCAGGAGGACAGCAGCAACGACTCTCACCTGGGAGAGGAAGGCCCGCCGGACGATTTCACAACCGCAGGAGCCTCCTCGTCGGCTACGAAATCCTCCTACGAGGATCTGACCGAGCTGAACCCGTCGGCCAAGGAGCGGCGCCGCCTCAAGAGGCAAGAATGCATTGACGCCAAAGAGACCGAGTGCTGAGAGGAGATCACCAGCACCTTCTTAGGTTTTTTTTTTTTTTACCACATACCAACGTGTACAGGCAGCCTCACACGGGCGCTTTAGGGAACATGCAAATACATGAAGCATCAAATGCATTTCTCTTATCAAAATCAGACTGCTGAATAATGGTAACCCTGTGCAATGGTGTCTTATTCACTCACAGTTTATTATTGTTTTCATCGCTCCGCTAACAGGTAAACATGTGAATGACTTTACATATTGAGAATTGTTGTTCTTATTTTCCAGTCCAACGCAAATTGCCAGTGTGAGATAATTTCGTCCTGAATTTGTGTAAACTGCACTTTTAAGTATTTTTCCACATCTCTGGAGAATTGAATTAAGTTGTATACATCTTCCTCCTGTGCTGTTAATGGTTTATTTTTGTACAGGCCTGTGAAACATTTTGCCCTGTTGCACTTAAAAGGCCTTATTCAATAATACACTGGGCAGAGTGGTAGTCTTCAGTAATACACTTGTTTGTCCAGCTGTGGAAAGCTTAAGAGGTTATATTGTCTTTAAAACATGGTGCCTTTTCTGATTTTTGGCCTGACTGTCCTACTTCCACTAGATGAACGTGGCGCTGAACAATCCTGAATTTAGTTTTAAGAAACTTCCCGTGGTGCTCAAGTGTTATTTTTCCGTTTGATATTCTGTCTTTGTGCCAATATGAGTTATGCATCTCTTTGTTGTCTCATACCATACCGCCACTGTTGCCTGCGGTATCACGTGTTAAAATAAGAAATGTACTTCCAGTAGGTCAAGAAGAAAAATACTGTCGAGCTAACATTGACCACTGTTAACAAGCTGATGTCCTGATGTGGTTTTATTTTTTTTAAAGGTTTCTTGCTTTCTTTAAACAAATATCAATAAAAAAATCTTTATTGTGCATTTTAAACAACACATGTTATTGAATTTGACACATCACGGCTGCATCATTGCTTTGTGCCAGGGACAAAGTCTAGTGGAAATTTAAACAAGTGCTAGTAAAAGGTGCCGGAGAGTCATCCCCTCAATAGAATATCCATTCTTCAGAGATTCGAAGAAGTCTTTCCAAGCCGACGTGGTCCTCGTCACTGGTCACCCAGTAGACTGCTCTCGGGGTTCTCTGCATCCACGTCTCCCCAGTAAGGCAGGATGAAGGGCAGGTCGGCCACACGGCTCTCCAGCAGCTCCCACAGGTGCAGAGCGACAAACTGGTTTCCCTTCGGAGAGAGGTGCAGCCCATCGGACAGATAGACCGTGTAGTCCTGCGCAGATGAGGACAAAAGCGCCAGACTTTTTTCAATAAGGAATTTAAAAGAAGATACTGAGGGTGATCATGAAAAACCTCAAAAACAAGGTTTAGTCGCGTGTCATTCAGTTTAGCAATACGAGATATTGACAATATTATATATAAATACAAAAAAAATTACACTTTTCCTGGCCCTTTTAATTCTTCGGCTGATTCAGAGATCTAAAGCGGCCTCCAACAACAACACGACAGCGAGCGTGACGATCACCCACCTGTCCGTCTTTCTGCATGAGTGTCCAGAGGTCCAGGGCGGCTGCACCACACTGACCGGCAACCTGGACACACGCCTCTGCATACTGCCCCGCTGTGGAGTTAAGGCGATTGAGTGGATACCCTAAAAAAAAAAACGAAAGACAGAAGCACTGGTTGACGATGTCGGCGTGGGATGTAAGATTTGGCGGATAGAGTGTGTGAAAGCGTAACCTTTCAGAATGCATTCTTTCTCCCAGGCTGGCTCGTGCAGGGGAGGAGGGGTGATGAATATAACTCTGTCTGCCGGCACGCCGGCTGAAGCCAGAAGCCCGGTGATGACTCTCAGGTTCTCTGAATACTCCTCCAGAGGGATGTGCTGCAGTGGGTTTTTATCTACAAGACAGGAACAGACAAAAGACAAAAAAATTATATGGAATCTTATGTAATATATATAAGAAAGGCATAATTGCATTTGTACAGGAAAATATACATCAATAAATACATGTCTAAAAATGTGTAGTCCTCACTGATCAAATCTGAATAGTTATTTTCCAAAACTTAGCGGAAGAACTCCTGCTGAGGCAAAGAAGACACAGGTGTCTAATCACACCATATCACAGAATAAGTAAACAAATAATGCACAAATATGAAGAGTACCCAATTTGGCAAGAAAACATACCTAAGAAATCGAATACAGAGAGTTTTCAGCAACATATTTATAACATGTTTGCGCAACTTGTTAAAATGACATTAGAAGCGGTGTCTGCACCTTGCAGTGCACAGTCGTTGGCTCCAAAGAAGACGGTGACAGCAGCTATGTTGTTGTTGTTGTCTGCAGACTTTGTGACGTCGATGAGGCGAGGGAGAAGCAGCTTAGCCCATCTGGAGTTATAGCCAGACAGTCCTCGGTTCACAACATCACACTTTCTAAAAAGGGAAAAAATATGTCAAAGTCGGATTTAAGGTGAAAAAGCACAACATTTAGTTTGGCTGTTTGCATGACTTGGATATATCAAAAGCATGCTCACCGTGCCAGTTTGTCGGCTATTGCTGCACCCCAGCCGTTGGCTTGAAACGAAAACTGAAAGAACAAACATTAGCTCACGTTAGTTATAAGTCACATTATTCATAGCGAACTTAAGGCGGCGAGCTAGCAGCCGATGCTAACTACAGTGTGCCCGTTAGCACCGACTGTTGACTTGTAAAAATATTAGTATTTCAAATCATTTGAATGAGCAAACCTGCGTGATGGAGTCCCCGAATAAAATCACTTTGGGCCATATTACTGTTTTTACCGTAGACATTATAAGTTATGACAGGCAGCACAGGACCAGACTTCCGTAAGGGGCGTGTCTTATGACGCACTGCCACGCTTCACAATAAAGGTATTACCATCATGACATGCAGTATATTAAGCTGTATAATGCATACAAATGTTCTAATTTAATGTAAACATTAAAATTGCATCAGCACCTTTACATTTTAAATAAAAACATGATTATAACCTTATTGAGGATAGCATTTTTGCAGGACTGTTGTCCTGGACATCATTAGCTTTTGCTAGGTGTACCCAAAACATATGTAGAATATATCAAACTACCGTTACATGTTTATACGTTAAACTGTTTTTCCAAAACAGCAAAACGTCACTGGTCGCATTTTACTTCACTGTTACTCCCAACAGGGGGCGCTACAGTCAAACGAGCCACCGTCAGCAAACCGGAAGTCGGCTTTCGTGTTTCGCCTCCGTCCAACATGGCGGAGGTCAGACTACGTTACGGCCGAGAAGCGTACAACTTCGCGCAAAAATCCTGTAGTCGATACCTCGTTGGAAGTCGGACGTGGCAAGGTATGAGCGCGACACAGGCGTCGCCTCCGTCGGTGGAGTTTGTTTGCGGTGACATCGGAGGCGTAGAGCGGCGGGGAGCCGGCGACTCGGCGGCCGCAGGGACCGTTGGAGCCTCACGGGACGGTTACATAAGGAGTGTTAATTACGTCTGGGAAATCGTCGCGGAAGATTACCGTGACCTCGGACTCGACAAAAACCCGTGTGCTTTTAAAAAGCCCGACGCTCAACGCACAGAGGAAGCCCTTCCTCGGTACCGGGCTAAAGCAAAGTTCGCTCGGCGACTGCAGAGCTTCGGTTCGTGTCGGGGACAGCGCCCCCTCGTGCCCGCCCGAGCCTACAGCACCGCCCGATCCGAGCCCCTCTACAAAACCAAAACGGGCTACTACGAAATCCTCGAGGTGCCGCCTGCCGCCACCCAGACCCAAATAAAAACCGCCTACTACAAACAGTCCTTCGTCTACCACCCGGACCGGAACGCCGCCAGCGAGGACGCCACGGTCCGCTTCTCTGAGATCAGCGAGGCCTACGCCGTGCTGGGCAACAAGGCGCTGAGGAGGAAGTACGACCTCGGTCTGCTGAGTCCGTCGGACCTCGTCGCCACGGCGAGACCCGCCGCCGCCGCGGGGTCGGGCGGCTCCGCGAGGGACCCGGCGGCGGGCCGGCGGTCGGTGGCGGGCGCGGACGTCCACGGAGGAGGAGGAGGCGTCTTCGACTTCGACAAGTTCTTCAAGTCGCACTACAGCGAGCAGCTTCAGAAGCAACAGGAGATCCGTGTCCGCAAGGAGGAGATGCAGAAGAAGGAGCGGGAGACGATGGGCGACGAGTCGACGGGCAGGATGATGGAGATGGGCATCGTGGTGCTGATGGCCATGGCCTTCGGTTTAGTCAGCAGTCTAAAGCGAGGATGAGGCTCATTCAGGTGGAGGACGGTGTCCTTGTTAGTAATTCTGGACTCACCGGAGTCATCATTAAGACTACACACACACACACACACACACCACTGTTCACATCATTACTGTAAAACACCATGCTTTTACCCCCGTCTGTAAGCCTCAATTACAATAATGAACTATTGTGCAGAGTGCATGACTTGAGACCATCCTTTGGGCCAAGGAGACGTAGTGCAGTTAGAGTTGCACAAAAAAAGCCAGAAATCAACGACTAGCCGCTGAGTACATGTTGTACTAGGTTTCAGTTTCTCAGTCTATGGCTGTATCACAGTACTGTATACGTTCAGACAGTATCGTGTTTTGTTACACGCTGTCAAGTAGGATTAACGAATCCTGGCGTAGTTCACAGCCATACACGTTGGAATGAAATGCTCAAGAATATTAGTTAAATCAGTAAATATCTGATTTAATAGGATTATCAATATTGGCTTTTATAAAGTCATCTGTCTCGCAGATTTCTTTATTTTGAATGAAGGCAAGTGTTTTGGTTGTGGTTTCACGTGTTGCTATTTATGATCCATTTATAGCAACGTAAGGGATGTGAATATCAGTCATATGTTGGGAGCTCTATATTCATTTTAAAGGTGCCTTGGGTGATATTTATTGTAAAAATCCACATAGTTCAAATGTTTTAATAAATTACAGGATGCGTGTCTGGTGGAGCACAGTGAAATAGATGTTGCTTTAGTCTTTTTTTTAGCACCATTGTTCAACGTTACATCAACACTGATTAATTGTAAACATCATTTACAAAACATTTGACACTAGCTGGTGAAATAACTCAACAAATGGGAAAACTGTTTGAGAATCAATGGTTTTGTCAAATTATTTTAAAAATCTATAATAAATCACACAGTGCATTTAAAAATTCACAGTTAAACAAGTCACGTCAGTGCACATTAGTAACCAATTAAACCAAAACCTACAGTGTAAGTTATTAAATATATTAAAAGTGCATAACAAGATAAACATCTATGAAAACATTATATTACAATTCTTTTTTACATGCTAGCTCACAAATGATAACTCTTATGTTCATTACTAAAACGCCAATCTAGTCTTTCCAAATAAATCGGGACGGGGATCGTTTGTTAAAAGTTTTCATTACACCAAACCAGATATGAAACAAGATAATGATCCTTGTGGACATGATGTCCTCTTCTTGGCGCACACACACGCATGCGTGTTTTCTATCCGAGGACTCGGCTCTGGGATCTCGGTCCCTCGTTGGTTTAAAAGCCGATGCTCCATTTGTTCTGTCGGGCCCTCAGATGACCGGGTTCAGGGCGTCGTAGAGCCGCTGCACGGCCAGCTCGACCATCTCTCTCAGGGAGTCGTCCTCCGAGCACTCCTCCTCGCCGCACACCGACTGATGGGGAAGAGAGGGAGTCGGTGGGAGAGAAACGACAAACACACATCGCTCTGCTTCTTGGCGCGACCGGCTGAAAGCTTCTCACCCTCGTCTCCAAGCAGATGTGGGCCGTCCTCCCATCTACAGTCACAGAGACGCTTTTACCGCCGCTGAAGTCCACACAGTCCTCTCCGAACATGTCCCTAAAGACGGAAGCAAAATGTTATGACTGAAGTACAGTGCAGTATCCATTTGAGTGTTTCTGTGTATACGATATTATAAACAAGTTCATGTTGATTGTGTCACCCACTGCAGCATCACTCCTAGTCGGGTTTGGAAGACGTCCATATCCATGATGGCGCTCTGGGTCTCCATGGCTATTCATCATGAATCACAGTAAAAAGGAATTGAGAAACACAAACACCACCACAATAAGAACCCACAACGTGTAATACGTCTCTCTTTGAAATAATTATGTAAATGGTAAATTTGCTTCCTACAGTCCGTAAAGCAGTCGGAAACTAAAGACTCAGAGAAGCAACACACAGCTTGTCAGACGGACCTTTCTGGGCCTTCGGGTTGGACTGGACCTCCAGCACGACGGTGGTGACGGCGTCGGCGTACATGTCATTGAGAGGGTTCGCCAGCCACTGGGACGGGGGGGGGGGGAGAAGACACAGGGTGGTTGGGAGAATCAGCCGAGTCTCAAGCGTGTAAAGTGGAAAGAACACTCACCTCCAGCAGCACCGTGCCGACTTCGTGGACCAGAGTGATATTTTTAAAAACCTTCAAAGTGTTCTTCTCCGTTCCATCCAGTTCCTCTACGTCACCTGAGGCGAGAGGAAAAAGCAACGGAAACGACAGCAATAACAGCGCTGTTCTTCAAAAATGATCCAAATATAAATAACTCCATTTTTTTTAAACTTAAATATGGCGGTCTGACCGGTGAGGTTCCTCAGATGGCAGACGAGCAGCGAGTACGGTCCAGTGAACGGGATCGCCTGGGTCTGTTTCACTGTGCTCATGGCCAGCTCCGTGTATGCTGCCAATCGGAAGCGTCGGGTGAATAAAGAGTCATAAATAATGGGCAGCGGTTTAAGTTTGAAAAACGATGGAGAGTAAAACTTACTAGAGAGGTCAGAGGGATTGAGGATGTGGTAGTTGAAGTTCTTCTTCACCAGTATGCCTGACACCCTCTGGCCCTGGAGGCACTTCTTATCAGCCAGAGAGCCCATCACCTGGAGGAGTGTAAAGTGCAACGTCATTCTAGTTTCAGCGTTTCTCACAGCAGCCCAGGATCATGACTCTTTTAGCCATGAACCAAGAAACATTTAGAGAGGAGAAAAAGGTTCGAAACAGGCAGTTCCTTTTTTTTTACCTTGGCCAACTTCTCTCCCCTGAAGTTGAGGGTGACGGCTTCTGTGTTGCGAGGGTTGTGGACCTCGATGTGGACCTGGTCGTTGTCCTCGTACTCCCTGATCAGTGCAGCCTTCAGACGGGCCATTTCGTTCTGCTCTCCGTGGACCAGTATCTGACGATAACGCGCGGTGAGGAAGGTCAGGGTTTTTATTTACGGTTCATATTACTTAAAAAGGTACAAAAAGCCGCCAATTGAAAACACAAATCGGAAAAAGTCGTCGTTCTTACCACGTGAGGTGGTTTGAGCGCCCGGATGAACTCGCTGGTCTGCTGGTAGTCAGTGTGGGCAGAGAATGAGATGTAATCCACAGACATCTTCAGCTGCAGCTTCTGCCCCGACATGGTTGTGATCTCTTCCGGCTCCGACATGATGTGCTGCACGGGACACACAACACACCACCGGCAGGACGCTGTGATAAAACACTCACTGTTTCCGCACACGCGTCCAACGTTAGAGAAACGCTTTCCCGTTGTAGTCCGACCTTGGCCAGTGTTCCCTCCACGCAGTATCCAGCGATGATGACTCCGTTCCTCTTGTCGGTGCACCAGCTCTCAAAGAGCTCTCTGGAGAGCCCGCTCTGCATCATACCAGGAGAGGCCATCACCACACTGGGGCCGATGTCATCAAAGTGATCCATACTCTGGAGGAAACCCCCCACACACACACACCAGGTGTAAATATATATATATATATATTCAGGAGTATGTAACAGCCAGACAGTCTACCAGTCTACCTTGAGGTTGCTGATGTGCTTGAAGACAAAGGGGTTGTTGATATTGATGGCTTTGCGTATCTTGTCGTTCATTGCGTTGACGTAGGTCTGGTACACGGCCATGCACTTCTTGGCCAGGGACGAGGCGTAGTAGATGGGAATGTCGTGGAGCTCTGGGTGGTTCTGCCAGTACTCATCTAAAGGAGAAACCGAGACGCAATCACACAGCCTCTTCTAATTGACACAAAAACGAATACACAACTTGCTCATGGTGGTAAAATGCAGATTCTAAGCAGAGAAAAGGGTCATAAAATTGACAGAATAGTGGCCAACAATGTTGGTGAAACTGCCTGTTCCGAGGGTGTCACACACCCAGAATTAGCAGCAGTTCCTGGGCCCGCCCCAAAGCGAACACGGGGATTAAACAGCGGCCTTCTCTGTTGACAATGTCATGAACTGTGTTACAGAAGCGAGCTTCTCGCTCCTCCCTCTTCTCGTGGATGTGGGTGCCGTAGGTAGACTCCTGCGAACGGATAAAATGGTTCACCACGTTGTTATCACCAGGAGATTCCTTTAAGTTCAGTGTACAAGGGGAACCAATATGTGGAGTACTATGATTAAGATGTCCGGTTTGACACTGGGGATCTCCGCTGCCATCAGATGCCTGTCTTCCTGCCGCGAGAAGTCTCCTGTGTACAGCAGCTTTAGAGAAGAGAAAAAAAACTTTTAAAGTGAACTTTACAGGGTTGATCTCCAGGGAAACACAAATCAGGAGACGCTACCTTAACTCCCGCAATTTCGATCATGAACATCGCAGCTCCGAGCACGTGACCAGCGTGGTAGCACCAGAACTTGATTCCGGCCACCTCCTTGACCTCGTGGAAGTTGATGGTCTCGATCTTATCCATGCTCTCCTCCAGATCAGTCTCGGTGTACAGCATGTCATCTGCAGAGATGTTGCTGTAGTAAACCAAAGACAAGATGATTGCAGGTACTGTTTTATTATTTTTGGAAGTCTTCCATGAGGATGACTGCTCCTTCTCCTACCTGACTTTGACGTAGTCTGACAGTAGCCAGCGGTAGATGGCCTTAGTGGCGTGGGTCATGAAAGTCCTGCCTTTAAAACTGGTCTTTTGTAGGAACCAGGGAAGAGCTCCACAGTGATCCAAGTGGAAACTGGTGAGAGAATATGCACAACATCACTATCAAATTCAGGATACAATTAAAGTAGAATATTAATGCACAACGTGCATTAATAAGGACATGGCCGATACAGGGGAAAATACATGGATACATAAAAGGCAGGAGGAGAGGCTCACTGGCTGATGAGCAGCAAGTCGATCTCGGCTGGGTCTATCAAGTCGATGTATGGTAGAGCATCCATCCCCTCCAACCCAGGGTGGATACCACAGTCCAGCTGCACAAGAGACATACAACTTAATGTATGTCCTCCACAATAATGCATTCAATAAAAAAAAATACATCATTAAACCTATGCATTAATTAAAACATACTAAAGCCTACACAATATAGGAATGAAGAATTACATGTATTCATACGTATTGCTGCTTTCTTAAATTTGCGCATAGTTTGTTTAAAGTATCATAGTTAATACTAGACAAAAATATTCACCATAATTTTCCTTCCTTTGAACTCCAGGATGATGCATGACCTCCCAACCTCCTGACCAGCGCCCCTGTGGACGATGTTACATAAGTAGATAAAAGCGTTAAAGCTAATGTAACATCAATTCGTTTATTTATTATAATTATATTTGTATATGCAGGCAGCCATCAATAAAAAAAACCTCACAGTGGACGAATCAGCAGCTGGTCACTCTCCTCTGCTGGGACGATCACCTCAACTTTGCGCTTGGTCGCCATTTGTGTTAAATCTTGCACGTCAATTTTAAAATAGGAAAAATAAATGCGGTCATGCTGCACTGCCGCTGCACTGCACAGCGCATCAATGAGACAGACGGGGCGGACTCGCGTGACGTCACACTTCCGGGGGTGTACCAAAATACGGCCGACTAGAAATTCAAAAGGCGTCGACGCACAAGGTTCCGGACGGTTGGACGGTTTGTGTGGCAGAGAATTGACGTTAATAACATAAGTAGTAAGTTGCAAAGGACACGGTAATACAAACTATATTTAAATAACCTCGGTGTAGTCTAAACTTTTGAACATACTCAATAATATATATTATTCAAGGGGCTCTCGGAGCAATACGCCGCTTTAGAGACGCTTTTTTGGGGGCTGTGTGGTCGGTCGCGTCCCCTTTAAGTGGCGTTGGGTGTAGGCTGCGAAACTGTTTAGGACGGTTTGAGTCACTGTGAAGGTAAAACTTGGGTTAAATCTTCGTCAAAGAAAATGAACATCGAAAGGGTTACTATTTAAAAAACGGACGTGTCTTGTGACAGCTCGCCATCGTTAAATATATCAACATGTTGCGTTTGTGTCTCCGCTTCTCAACTTTAACGTGAGAATAAACGTTGTAATATTTTATACGTCTTGTTTTAGCATGTGCCATTTTATATGGTAAGCTAGCGAGCGAAGTATTCTCCTGAGCATTTACGCCATCTCGGTAAATGATGCGTTCAAGTCTAATGTAACCTGTTGAGTCTGGTGTGTCATTTGAGTCGTGGGGTGGAGTCGTTACATGTTTAATGCCCCGGTACGAATAACGTTTCACCCTGCGACTCCATCACCGACACGTGCTGTTTTTACTCTAAAATAAACAATAGCAGGTGTCACAGATCAATTGTTTGCCGGTGTATCTTGTTCTAGACGTCAAAGACATTAAAACTAATAAAGAACCCTATTTTTGATAAACCCGCCTGGGTTTTACTTATTACGAAGATAGACTTTAGAACAATGTTACGGTATTGTTATAGGTTATGTTGTAGGTTTTCTTCATTATTTATAAGCTAAATGGATGTTTTCAAAGACAGCCTTCAGCTATTTGAAATGATGACGTCACATATATAACATAATAATTTCACTTTTTGAAGGCCTTGCTAAGTAGGTTTTGTGTATGTTTGATGATATTTTAGGTAAATTCTATCCGTGGGTGATGACCGCATTACTTTTTTCACAGGTCTCCTGCAAAAGAGATCTTGGTCTAAATGAGACTTTGTGAATAAAAAACGCATATCTCTCCTATTGTCAGTGGCTGTGCAGTTGTCACAGTAAAAACTGAATACTGCAAAGAATAGAATAAAGGATTTTTACATAGCTCTCATTCCTCCGTTGTTCAGAATGTAGACTATGCTACGTTCTACATTCAGTTATTCATCATCTCTATTGTGGTGTGTTCAGCCCGTGATGATCCAGGTTTGGTGATGCTGCAGGGCTGGATGCCGTCGACATGGTGAAGAATGTTCAGAATGAAAGTCAAAAAGCGCCACAGCAGCAGCAGCTCCCAAAGCAGTGAGATTAGCACCAAAAGCAAAGTAAGCCAACAACACACACACACACACACACACACACACGCACACACACATGAATGTTATGGTAGAGCTACTTTCTCCTTCCTCTCGTGTCTCTTCACTCCTTTCAGTCCGTGGACTCCAGTTTGGGGGGGCTCTCCAGATCCAGCACCGTCGCCAGCCTTGATACAGACTCCACCAAGAGCTCAGGTCAGTCGAATAAAACACATGGACGTCCACAATTTATTGCTTCTTTTCTCCACTAACAGCTTATATGACGTATGCTCTTCGAGAAGGAAACAGCTCGTCTGAAACATGTGGCGAGTTCCGGGTGAAGTACGTGGGAGCCATTGAGAAGTTGCAGTTTGACATGAGCAAGACCCTCCAGGAGCCTCTGGACCTCATCAACTATATTGATGCCGCCCAGGTAGGCACAGCACTTCAAGTAGGCTTACTGCAGTGAAGGTCACATCATTCGTTCATGAAGATGCTATACAGTGATCCCTCGCCACTTCGCGGTTCACTTATCGCGGATTCGCTATTTCGCGGATTTTCATATTGCATTTTTTTTTTTTTTGGTGCATTGTGCTCTGCATTCTGATTCGCTAAAAACTCACTCCCGAGCCGTTCATTACAGTTCTCCAACGTAATCGATGGTGGCATGTCGGTGTACAAGGATCTTTTTGCAAAGAAGAAAAAAGAGCGACAACAGCTGCCTATCACTATGTTCTTCTCCCGAACAAACACACCTGCACCGCGGGCTTCAGAAGAAGAGAACACTGCAGAGCGCAGTCAGGATGCAGCGGCCCAGTCTGAAGAGCAGTGAAACGGCCTACACGCGAGTCACTGTATTTGTATACATGTAATAGTTGCTAATTGTAAAAAAAAAAAAAAGTTTTCTATTTCGCGGATTTCACTTATCGCGGGTCATTTTCGGAACGTAACCCCCGCGATAAACGAGGGATTACTGTATATATATATATATATATATTTGGCTTCCTTTTCAAAGCAAAATGGAAAACTGCCCTTCGTTCCTGGAGACGAAGAGAGGATTCTGGGAGTGTCAAAGTACGGAATCAAGATGGCCTCGCTGGACCAGTGTGTGAGTAGATTCATGCCCCCTAGTCACAGTTTTAAAATACTTTTCACAAAGCTGCTGACTGAAATATTTCAGCAATGTATAATGCTACACTCAGAGGTGACGCTTATTTTGCACAGATTCACCTCTAAAGCCACTTTGATCGTTGATGGTGATGTGATGGGAATGAAGAATACTTGTATGCTTAAGGACTTTTAATCCTCCACCCGTTTCAGGACGTGCTGCACCGCCACCCTCTGTTCCTGATCGTGCGCATGCTGTGTTACGATGACGGGCTCGGTGCAGGGAAGAACCTCTTGGCTCTCGAGACCACGGATGCAAAGCAGGAGGAGTGCAGCATCTGGGTGTACCAGTGTAGTAGCTCGGTGAGTGTGATAAAGTAGCAAAAAAAGGCAGTTTTCTCAGTTTGAGGCTATTTCCATACTTACTATCCGTCGCCTATGTGAACAGGAGCAGGCTCAGTCCATCTGCAAGGTGCTGTCGGCTTCCTTTGACTGCGCTCTGACATCGGTCAAATCATGAGGGCGAAGAGAAGAGAAATGAAATGATGTGATGTATGTTATCCCCCTCCCATCAGGTGAGACACGACTACTGTGAATTTCATCATTTCCATTTCCATTTGTTTCTTTACCTCAAATGCTGATTTTTCACATGAAGTTAAAAAAATTGTGAAAAGTTAAAAAAAAAAAGATGCATTCTTTTAACGCATTGGATTGCAGTGCAACGTAAATTAATCATGTTTAAAGCAAACAATGGTAGAAAATCTCCAGCCTCTTGGTACGCATGTGTTCATTTTTGGGGGACATTCATCAGAGTAGAAACTACACGGTACCCGTAGTTCACGATACGTCTTTTTCCTCATGTGGAATCTACTCGGATCCCTTTCTGAGCTTCATTATCTTATTCTTTTTTTTTCTTCTATTTTTAACAAAAAGTATTGGTACAATAGCAGTCACCTTTTTTACTCTACGGTACTTCATACAAATATCCTTTAATCGTGTGAGAGGAGTCTTGTGTTTTTTTCATTTTGTGATTTTCTCATTTCTGACGACCGTTTTTGACTCATTATTTATTTACAGCGTACTCTTGATACCAAGACCTTGATGTTTTTGAGATTTTTCTGTCTTTGTGTTTTTGTGTAGTAATTAAAATGCATTAGATCCATTCACATGCATACATGCATCCAGGCTGTAGAAACACACAAAATATTTAGGAGGAAAAACATGTTTACAATTGTGGTACTTACCTGACGTCACCTTGAACAAAACTATGAGCACATTCTCTTTTTTTCTCTCCTCCTTTCGAAGAGTGGGTTAAAAGTGTGGCATTCAATAATTTGATCAATTTGTAATTAGTTGACTTATTAAAGTTTAATTTCTCATTTGGCTTCCAGTGTCATCTTTACTTTTGAGTGTACCTTTTTTTTTTAAATGCTTTTGAAATAGTTTCTTCCCTCAAGCATTTCACAACGTTTTTATGAAATGCACACACAGAAACATTGGCCATCAGAGGGAGCTGTCGACACATCTGACTTAAGATGGTAAAAGGTCACTTTAGTCAACTGGGGCTTTTAAATGCAAGTCATTGCTTTAAGTGGTTTTGAGACCATCAATAATTAAAGAGATCATGGGATAACAAATACATTCATAAACATGTTAACGCTCTAAAGAAACAGACCAAAGCCTTCTACTGTTCATCTTTATTATTCCAGTTTAATTTTCCCATTAGCTCGCACAACAGTTAAGAGTCGATGCAGTAATTCACAGACAGTCGATAAGAATGAATGACGTTTATTGTCCCAGCTGTGCTCGTATGTACTTTTGATTTCAGCACACACACACACGCACACACAAACAAACACACACACACACACACACAGGTCCAGCTGAGGTTGTATCTGTAACTGCTCATCACCACAGACCATTGAAGACATTTAGTGCCCAGGTTAACTCTTCTTTTTACATATAAATATCAACAAACTCAAACCTATTTACATGAATAGATAATTCAATCTTCCTGTTTCCAGTGAGTTCATATTAAACATGAGTATCAGTTAAGATTCACATGTCATTCACAAGTCCAAGAAAGGCTCTGGTTTCAGGTTAAATGCCTAAATATCAACAGACAGTTGCTCTGCAAGAAAAATGAAGTTAATCACATCAAATGTTTGATATTTATCTCATATTTATCCCACCTAATTACCTAACACTAATCGATACAACTCATCTTTCTATGGGACCCCGGAATCTACATGTACGAGAGGCTTAAGCTGTAAGGAGGATATTTGTGTGTAATCAGCTCATTTTTGAAAAACAAAACAATGGCCTGTCAGAGTCTGAGTGCTCTCAAAGGTAAAGAGAAAGCAAAACGACAATCAGAACTAACTCCTGCTCCTCATAACATTCCCACACTCTTTTATTTCCTCTTGCTACAATATTATCTTATTTTCAGCTTATGTGCAGAAGAGACACTCGCGCACACACTTCCTGTCCCTCTAATAAGGCAGGAGACACCCGGGGGCGTCTTCGCCGCGGCGTATAGGGAATTACTGGCTGCTGCAGCTCATGTCTGTGTCAATGCCAGTCCGCTTTTGAGAAGTGGAAAGGGAAGCTCCCTTTTTGGAGTGCAAAAATTCTAGAATATTCCAGGGTCAACGAAGCACCATTAGAAAGACCTCCACACGGGGGGCCTCGTACGGAGTTGAAAGCTCACACAGATAAGCAGGTAGGACATTTAAAAACGCCTCATGCACAGATGAGGAATGGAAGCATGTTGCCTATGTTCACATTAAGATTTGCTTAAAACGTTCAAATACGTTGCTGCAGTCTCCACAGCACAACATCTGTACAATGCAGCTCAGCAGACAATGGATGTGAATACTGTACAAGTGGACCTTCATTCTGTCTTATGCTGTAACAAGTATGAAGACAAGCAAAGTGCATTTATTGCAAGCGGTCATAGACTACAATCATACGTTTTAAAATGTCAAAGCGTCTTTGTCAGAACATCAACGACGAGCATTAAAACTCCCCGAGGAGTGACGTCCAGATGTTGCGCTCGGCACTCTAAGAAGCTCGCCGGCGATGATGATGATGATGGTGGCGATGTCGACAACATGGATGTTTGCTGGCTGAACGGTGACGGGTGAGAGAGGGACGTCCCCTGGGACACTTGACACGGAGACCTGCAGAGGAACCTTTCAGTCAGCGATGAAGTGGACAAACGTAACGGGGAAGGCTCCTCTTCTCATCGGATCGCCCTCGATGTGGCCCAGCTGTGAAGAGGGAAGACGGGGGAGACATCAGAGGAGGATGAAGGGCGGCAGACTTTAGGTTGGGTTTTATTCTATTGGGAGGGCGGAAGTTCACTCAACCAAATGGGTCGTCTAAAGCACATTCACGAGACTATGACACCACTGAACATTGGGGATACGTTTTCTGGTCGAAAGATTCAATATTGACTACTAAAAATCACAAAACTGATCTGCCTCTTCTCACTGCATATGCACCAAATATTAGTAGGATAATTATAATAAATGAGTATGTGTGTAGGATGTCTTAAGACAGTTCAGTTCACTTCAGTTGAACCCAAAAAGGAAAATAATTCACAGCTTTATTTGTAAGATAGAATATATGTAATAACATAATAATTAATTAGAGAAAAAATTATATAAATGTAGAAGTAATTAAAATGGCAATTTACAAACAAAAGATTGAAGTGAAACAGGGTATCAGTCCAAACAGCTCACTAAACACCAACTAAAGGAGCACATAGTGGACGATGAGGCTAATAAACACTATTCACATCAAAATAACATTCCCACTTTATATTACCTTAGTCGATAAAGAAGACAGAACCTATTATGTCCATTTATTAACGTCTTCTATACCTGAAAACAAAAAGCTAGGACTCGTTTATGCTCCAACAATGTTCACACGAGGCTAAAAGTGAAAGGAAACAAGCCAAAGAGGAAATAAATACAGAATAAAAAGCTATTTGTTCACACAGTCTAAACTGACACCCAAAGGGTCCAACGGATGCAAAAGCCACAAAGCACATTCAAAAGCAGGTGAGACCCTGTGGATTTAAAGGACAGACTCCTGCTGCAGAACCATCATTGGGCTCAGTACGGGCGAGTGGGCTTCTGCAGGACACGCCGCATACATTACATTACACTGCATTGTTGCTTTTGCATTCACTTCCCAGCCACCACAAGAAGCTCATGTATATGACTTATCTTATGAAATATCTCGACATTCAGAAATAAAGTAACAAGACATTTTGCCGATGTGATAACGCTGCTGACTGCAGGACAGAGAGAACGCACGGGACAACCGGAGGGGGAAAGTGACTAAATACGGTCGTATCAGCAGCTCAAGGAGCAAAACAAGTTGCAGCTGGTCGATGTTCACACGAGAGGCTCCAGAGAGGAAGCAGCAGCAGGCGGAAAAAGAGGAGGGGATCTCAGCCCAAATGAGGTCATGTTTTTTTTTGGCGTTTCAGCCACCGTGGTTACCGAGTGAACTGACGTTCACATGGTGGAAACGTGGACGGAGCGGGGAGTTGGACTGTGCAGTACTCTGAGAAACAACAAAACAACTCTATACTGACCCACCACTCCTGGTCCTCCTCTCCATCCACGACGATCACCTCGCCGTCGGAGAAGGTCAGCTCGTCCGGGTTGTCGGCTTGACAGTTGTAGATGGCTTTCACTCGCTTTGGCCTCTGCTTCTGCGAGACGGAACAAGAGCAGACGGGAGAGGATGTTGGGTTTTTTTGTCTGCTGGATAGGTTGAGAGCTGCAGAGGTAAATTCGATTAGATCGATTAAATAGATCAGCGGCTATATCATCCAAGTGGCAATCATGTTTTTCTGTAAATTCACTTTGTGTCTGGTGGAGGAATGAGGGACTTACTGGGTAGGTTTTCTTCTGCGTGTGGCCTGACGGCACAGACTGACCTATGGAGTTCTGGGGGCATCCTGGCACTTCCTTAGCTGGAAGAGGAAAAGGAAATTAGATCACTACAACAAAACCTTCCACGGAAGAAACAGTTTGTGGAATGTGAATGTAGACGTCTGCACACTGACTGGACACACACACACACACACACACACACACACACACACACACACACACACACACACACACACACACACACACACACACACACACACACACACACACACACACACACACACACACACACACACACACACACACACTTGACAGAATTGATATGCTGCCTCCCTTATTTCTTCACTCACCTGGTCTCTCAATAGATGCTGTTCGATTTAGCGGTCGGGTGAAGCTTTTATCGTTGCTGTAAAACACAAAAAGGCGAAATGCTCTCATGCTCTCATCAAGTAGTAAAAGTCGTATCGAGTTGTGTAAAGACACACAGTGAATAGAGAACCGTCCGGTTCTCGAGCCTCTCAGCGGCTTTGTTTTATTGCAGCACTATTGGCGCTGCGGGAGACAGAAGAAGCGACCGCGGAGGAGAGTTATTGCTCGTCTGGCTCGACGCAGCTAATGAAGCGGCGACACAGCAGCCATGTAGGCTGCTTGCTCTTGTGAAGCCCCCCCCCCGCCCCCTTCCCCCTCCTCCCCTCCGAGACCACCACGTCACAAGCCGTGTGAAAAGACACCTTTATTCCTCTTTATTTCTTACCCCGCAGGAGACTTCGGCGGCCCCGCTCTGGACCCCAGCGGTCCCTGGCCCGACTTGGACTGCATGCTCATGGACTCCATCTTGGCCACAGGAGGACCCAGACCTGGGACACACAGCGACACACCTTGATGAATGGAGGAAACAAAATCTAACTCGGCATCTGTGGAGGATTTGGAAGCATATGAACATCTATGATTGTACGATGTGCGACGGACCGACGGCTCAGTTAGGAAAGATGTAAACACTGTAGTTGTCTTCGCGCCAGCAGTGATCCAGATTAAGAAGGAGGGCGGGATGTGATGGGGTCCACGTACCTCCAGTTGAAGTGAGTCTCAGAGGGGGGACGGGGGGGTGCATGTTGGGGGGGTCTGAGGAGGACCGCTGTCGGCCAACCAGGTCTAAAGCGCCGGGCTTCCAGCTGCTCGATAGCGAAGGCTGACCGCTGCCACCGAGGCCGGAGAACTGGACTGAGACGGAGAGAGAGAGAGACATTAGGATGACAGAGACCCAGAGAGAGAGAGAGAGGGGAGGGGGAGCACTTTGCCAGAAAAAGGGTCCACTTTAAATTAGTCTTCAGGTCTAACCTCCCCCGTCGCCTAGAGACCGACCTAAAGAGAGTCACGGCGTCTCCTGGTACCCAGACACATCTCTGGTGATAAATGGACACTCAGACCTGCACAGGCTAAAGGCGTTGGGCCTTACCCTGGTTCCTCGGGGGCAGCGGCGGAGCGGAGCAGAGACTGAGAGGCTGAGGAGAGTTGTTGTTGTTGAGGACGGTGCCGTAGGTCTCGTTGTTGACCAGGTTGGGCATGTAGGCGCGCTGCTTGTCCTTGGCGTGGCCGATGGCGTCGCGGCCCGCGGAGCCCTGGCTGGCTTGCAGGTGGGAGTTGCTGCTCGGGGTGTAACAGCTGACCGGACGCTCGTCCCTGCGGTGAGGGCTCGGCTGGAGGGGCGGCACAACAAATTAAGCTCATCGTCATGTGTACAAAAACATTCTGTACTGCTACTATATTGTTGGTTTTTTTCTGTCGTACTTTTCCTGTCTACAAAAGCGTCTCTCACCTTCTCATCCAGATCTTCATCGCTTTCATCCAGGTCTTCATGCTGCAGGCACCATTCATATTCAACATGGACGTGTGCGTTGAATTTCCCAGCCAGCGCTTGGGTCAACTATACACAAAAAAAAAACAGATCCAGACACATGTGAACACACAGATCCTAAAAATGTTCATATTGCATCGCAGATATGAACCAGACTTTCACAAGGGGAGCTCACCAGCTCTTCACACTGTATGTGTTTGAGCCGCCGCGCGATATCCAGCGGCGTCTCCCCGGCCTCATTAGCTGGAGAGAGAGCGACAGAAACAGAATCGTTACTGTAGCCACAAACACACCGCCCACTTTCCTTCCTCCCATTTCACGGAGACACAAGAAGTGCGTAATTAAGACGGTTTCCCACATTGAACAACTCTCCGGTCTCTTCCCCGTCCTCCCTCTCTGTATCCATTATCAGGCTGTTTTGTTGATGTCACAGCAGAGTAGAAAGATTAGTCTTGTGAGAAAGAGTTGCTACGGCCTTTTGGCAGAACCCCTTCTGGGAACTGAACCCAGAGTACTTGAATAATCATGTGTGTATGTACATATATGAGAGAGAGAGAGAGCGAGGAATAGTCCCTTCCACATAGATTTGTCTTATTGTTTGAATATTCCTACTCATCACATAATATTCACTATTTGTAAGAAGAAGAAAAAAACTTTAATACGAGATTAAAAATGTCTCAATAAATTTGTCTTACGGAAACTAACAGACACAGAAAGCTGTGCGAGGTAAAATAACAGTTCTGACTTGTGATTTACCAATAGATTGTGCAAACAGACTCCCGGTGTGAAGAAAAGAAAGACTAACAGTGGGAGCGTGAAGGCGTCACAGCCGTCCCGCTGGGTGATTTCTCCCCTTACCAATCTCGATGGAGGCCTTTCCCCGCAGCAGCAGTTTCAGACACTCGCTGTTGTCGGTCAGGCAGCAGTAGTGCAGCGCCGAGCTGCCTTTGGCCGTCTGCTTGTCCAAATTCAAACTGCAGGGACACAGAGAGAAACAGCTTTAAATCCCAGTACAGGAGGAACAAAATGAAGCTTTTGCATGATAAAGTCCCAACAAAAATAATAATGTAATATATCTTCGATACTTTAACACTTTTATAGGACAGAAACTCTAGCTCTATAAAATAAAACAATGGATCTAAAGAGAAAATTAAGATAATAAAGATCAAATAAGTGGATGATAACTAATAAAAAATATATAATTTAAAGTGTTGAGAGACACCTTTTCAGTCACAGTGAAATTCAAAATGTTTACCTGTTCTGAGTGAGGAAGTCAACAATGTGAAGGGACGTTCGATCCACCAGCCTGACTGCGAGATGAAGGGCCGTCTCCCCTTGCTCCTGGAATTAAAACAAATGAAACATTCTTTCACCAGTGGAATCAAACGGATCCACGAGAGAATAAGGAGTCAACGTCTTTGTGTACTGACGTGTCCGTTGGCCAGCGGGATGGGCTCCATCAGGTCGACCCCCTCGGCGTAGACCTGGATGAGGGAGAAGATGTCCCGGGCCTTCACGGCGTCACACAGTGTGTGGAGCCGCGACGTCGCGTCGGGACACTTCTTCCTGGCGAAGCGTTTCTCCGTGTACTTTGCCGTGATGAAGTCTTTCCTCGCCTGCCTGGTGCACACGTGGAGAGAGGCAGCGGCTCAGCTACGGCTGCACTTGTGCTCTTTGTGGGAATGAGTGTGATCGGGAATCGCGCCGATCGGAAGCCAGCGATCGTAAATGGTCGATAAACACTAAGTTAGTACATTTTTCTGTTTACCATTTCATTGCTTTGGAGAGTTTATGGTCAAGTTTTAATTGGATGTGCAGTCACATAAAAGTCACAAAAGCTGAAAACTATTATCTTGCTGACTTTTTTTCCCCTCCTAATTACACCAGTCACACTTTCCTTGTAACTTGTGCTTTAATTGCTGATGTATAATCCATTTTTTATAATTATCTATTTGACAGATCAGTGATTCTCCAGCTGTTCTGAATTGGTAATTTCATTTGTAAAAACCCGATCAGTGCTTTGGTTGAGATGTGCCAATATGTCACAGTGATGGTGTGGACAGTTGGTGAGTGTACAGGGGGAGAGGGGGGAGGCGGGAGAGAGAGAGAGAGAGAGAGAGAGAGCGCTAGGAGAATGTGACGGGGGAGATGGACGGGTGACTTACATGTCACTGCCTGGGTTTGGTTTCACCACATTTTCAGCACTTAAACCGGCCTCCATGATTTCATTAAAGCCGGCATTCCCCACATTCTTGGCCAGCTGCGGAGCGCACACACACACACACACACACACACACACACACACACGGACACTAGTCAGAGTTGTCATCTTTGCCTCTTTGAACTCACACCTCGGGATGCGGCGCTTTGTTGCGCGCGTGGAGCTTTACAAACTGCACGACGCACATGTGATTGTGGCGAACGCCAGTTGGCGACTCAACATCGAGGAAAGCGATCGCGACTGGAAGCTTTTAATCACAGGCTTCCCACCGGGCGGTAAATCTCTACAGCAGTGATTAGAAAAGCCATAAAGAACCTCAGCTATTCTGTGCGGAGAGGTCTTGCGGGGAGAACGGAGCTCGGGGCGACGGTCCTCTCCTTCCTTCCTGCCTCGACTTCCTGTCACCCGTGTTCTCATTCGCTTTCCTCAATCTCAATGCTCCGACCTGTCATATATGCCCCCCCCTCCCTGTCTTCCCCCGCCCCGTCCTCCCCCGCCCCGAACCCCCTCACAGAGAGGACGGACGCCATCAGCGATTTACCAAGAGTTTTGAGGTGCTGAGTACGTCCAGGGTGAGGGACTGGATCCTGAAGTAGTGGACTCCAAGCTCCCTGTGGATCCCCGAGCACTCGATGCAGGTGAGGATGCCCAGGTTGGTGGACAGCCACGTCGGGTTTGAGGACGGCAAAAGGAATGAAAATGTAAACCACACATGAGGGGGTTGGGGGGGGGGGGGGTCGGGACAGGCTGTCCTTGAGCAGAATCCTCTGAAGCTAAAGTAATTCCTGCAGCACGTGAGCCAACTTTGATGTGTCCTTGTGGGAAGCGGTGTGCTCTGGAAACTAAATAGCTGCCTGAAGGGCTTGTTGATATCTCACAGCTCACAATGTCAGGGGGAAGTGACCGAGCAGAGTCCGGCCCAGATACTCGGGTGTGTGTGTGTGTGTGCGCCATTGAGGTATATGCGTCTGCTCTGCTGGGGGAAATTTCACGGGATTTGAGAAAATATACATATGGGTTTTCCATGTATTTGAGAAATAAACTGATTTCAAAGTTATGACAGAATGCTGTGTCTCCACAAAGAGGATCCAGCATCTCCCGAGCCGAGGACATAGATTAGTAACATACGGGTAAAGAAGCAAAACACTTCCAAAGCCATACGTTCCAGTCTGAATACCCATCTAACCTGGATGGCTACAGACATTAAATCAACTCAAAAGGACAAAATTCTCACTAGAAACCAATGTGGGCAACAACTATACGGACCTCCTTTCAGATTACAATGATGCAAATAGTCTCTCAAGATCTGAACAAAGCAGCTAGGGTGAATAGCATCATTTTTTTATACGCAACTACAAAAGCTCACAACATGCTAAAAACCCTAAAAAGGATGCTGCCAATCATTTGCCTCCCTCTGCCACTCACTGGGCGCTCCGCAGTCGCAGCACACGTCATTTCCAGTCATTCTCTTGACCTCTGCCAGGATCGCCTTGGTCAACTCCTGCACAATGTTGTTCTCGCCCACATGCTGGTCCCCTTTGAAGGCCTGATTCAGCGCCTCCTCCTTGCTGTTCTGTAACACCGAGATCCAGCTGGAGGAGGGAGGAGAGGACAAAAGACGGGCGGGGCATTCAGTAGAAGTGAATTAAAATTGTACAGAGCACAGTAGAGTGAGAGGAGGAGGTTAAGAGGAGGCGGTGAGAGCTGCCGAAGCAGAAGGAGGAGGGTGTTAAAAAGAGGCGAGAGAAGACGGGGGAGAAAAGGGCAGTTATTGGTCAGGAGGTGGAAAGTAGAGGCGGGGCCAAGCGTCTGCACGTGTGTGCAAAGCGGCAACAGGCACTTACATCTGACAGTCTTGGTCGTCCTCGGCCTGAAAATGATACGTTCGGTCGTCTGAAACAAAAACAAAAAATGATGACACAGCAGAGCACAGATGTGCGAGAGGCATATAGCGACAACCTACAGGGGGCATTAAAGTATCAACATCTAACTGAGGGAGAACTGCTACACGTAAACAACTAAAAAAGGTGTGAATCCCTCAATGACAACCCGGGAGAACGGGTTCAAACCAAAGCGTAGCTCCTCCCCATAAGGCTAATGCAGTACATCTGGAAAGATCCAATCTAAAAGAACCTCAATATATAAATAAATAAATATAAAACTACTAAACTTAACAGTCCTGTCAGAAAAGACAAACGCCTATCATTGGCTATAAAGTATGGCCTTATTTCATAAATCACAGATTGGCCTAAAGCGTCTTTTCATTCTGCTTTTGGACCGTCACAGCAGAGAAAGGAAAAACTGACACAAACATCCAAAAGAAAAAAGATAAGGGATCCTTCTTCCAGACCAACACAATAGAGGTTTTGTGTACAGAAAATGTGGCAGAATACAATAGTAAACACGGACAATTTGACAAAGATCATCCTAACAAAAGCTGTTACTTAACTTACTTAAGGGTGAACAAGCAAACCATGTCAACGACCACTTGTTGGCTTTGTTGATTCATTTGCGGATTTCTTCCTTTATTAAAGTCAATTGGGAAGAATGTCACATTGTGTCGTATCATAATTCAGCAGGCACTGAGAGCAAAGGGGGGATTATTTTTTTCTGCCAATTTACAAAAGCTTTTTGTTCACCATTTGGTGCTAAATCGTAGAGTGAGATGAGCTGGATGTATTAATATGTAATGTATTTTTAGGATTCGGCTAATCTTCGCGTTGCAGCTTCTTTGGGAATAGAAAAACCTTTGAACGCCACACCGCTGAGCAACACATCTGCAAAACTGCTGTTGTGTGGCATCGGAGTGAAACATGTAAAGAATAAGGGGCGAGAGAAGCACGGAAAGAAAAAAAAAGTTACATATAAAATGAGAGGGCTTAACTTACGGGATATGAGGTCAAAGCTTCTCTTCTCTTCAGGATTGTGTTTCACCTGACAGGTGAGCAGGTTCAGTTTAGCTGGCGGCCGGTTAGCCTGAGAGAGAGAGAGCCATGACGACAACATGAATAAGCGGCAGTGTTTGTGATTAACCGTATCCGATAGCTGCTGCAGCCAAAGGAACGTGTGATAAGCTGCTACGTGATCTTGTGGGACGAAACGGAGTTGAGGCTAAAAGAGACTCAGCTGAGGCTTCGACGTGAGGAGAACGTTAACTTGTGAATGTGCTCGTGGTTAATGGGCGAAGATAATGACGCACTGCGGAGAGCTGTTTTTTGTGTGTGACTAAACGAGGCGTCTGGGGAAGAGTGTGTACATGCTAACCCTAACGGGCGCTTTTGAAAAAAGCAGACCTCAGTAGTGTGACAAAAAGGCGTAATTGTTGTCTTACTGTGCCGTGTGAGATGGTGAGGTAGCCGTTCTTCGCCGTGCACTTTCTCTTCTGCCACACCTTCCTCAAGCTATGACGGAGAAAATAGTTATAAGTCAAAAAGACAGTGAACTCAGAACTCAGAGCAGTTAAAATAAAATATTTAGTATGATCGCATACTAACTTCATGCATTAGTTATGACACACAGGCTAAGCAGTGCCATCATGTCTATAATAAGGCAAACAGCAGCTTGCTGACGGCAGCATCCGCTGCTTTTCTGTATTTTCCGTGTATCACCGTAAACTAAAAATAAATGGCTTTGGTCGGCTTAAACAAGCATTGGGAATTACTATGATTGTTACTTCTCACTAATGTGTGGTATTTTATATATAACAATTAATTAATAGAAGTAAAGTAATCAGCAAGTAAAACTATAATGAAAAAAATGGCTTTGGTCGGCTTAAACAAGCATTGGGAATTAATATGATTGTTACTTCTCACTAATGTGTGGTATTTTATATATAACAATTAATTAATAGAAAAAATGATAAAGTAAAACTATAATGAAAAAAATGGTACATTTTGCAATTAATTCAAAACTTTGTTTTGCTTTCTTGTTTGAAACTTTTTTTTCCCCATATATTATTGTAATATCTATTCAAATGTTCAAACTAGGTATAAAAGAACGAAACAAACTGCTAGAAATCTTATTTAGAGTAAATCTTTTTTTTTTGCATAACATTAAAAGCCGTATACTATGTGCGGGAAAATAGTAAAGGAAAACTAAAAATTAAATAAATAACACGGAGAAAAAAAAGGAAAAAAAATGCGACCGTCATCGTGATAGTTTCTCTTCTCCACTTGTGTACAGAATATTGGTATTTCTTTCACCTACAGTAATGCGAATAATCTCACTAGATTTGAAAGCTATTTCGAACTCTCACCCGTCGCTCTTCTTGTAAAGGTACCCGCTGCGCTCAGTGCCGTGCTCCTTGTTACCCCGCGGTTGGTGCAGGCTGTAGGTGGTGCTTGGCCGCACCTGTGAATCCTGGTAAAACAAACAAAGCCAGGAAATAAGAGCCTTTAAACAAACGTAAAAAAATGTACAGGCACGCAGTGCACGTGGGATTTGCAAATGCAAATTAGAGTCAAGTTGGAGCCACTGATGCGTTAAATGGCTCAGATTTACGCTCTGCTCTTGAGGCTCCTGCTCCTCTGAGAATTTGGAAGCAAGTATAAACAACAATAGGAGATTTGTGATGTGAAGCCTCATGGTTTTGTACACATGGGGATGAGAAAATAAGGGGAGCTTTTACACCTCTGACTGGTTAACAGGAGATGCCAAAAAGGAGATATTTTATTATCAGATCCCACTGAAAGGATCAGAAGATGAAAAACATTTACTTGAAATGCTCCCGGATTAAACCTTAACTACAATAAAAATGAACTCAATCGTCTTTAGATATTCAGGTTTGGCTGTAGTGCAAAAGCAACTGCCAAAGAGGGAACAAACAATGGTCAGATTTCTATATGAGTGATGTCATTTCCTGTCTGGAAACACTGCGGTAAACAGAGAGGATGGTTTCTGACGGCAGGCGTTGACGGGACTTGAGTTTCTCTGGCGTGTGCTTTTATCAGCCGACAAACACACAGCCAACCGGATGATGTTAAAAGGAGCCGCATTTTCTTAAGTCACATGAGAAAATGTTTAAAAAGCACAACCAACCAAAAATAAATCACTGAAACATGAAATATCTCAACTAAAAGAAGATGCTGCTCTATGAGAACAGAAAGAATACATACATCTAGAACTAAAACTGATGGAAACAATCACAGAAATGCTTTTCTTTTTTCTTCAAGAAATCCACTTACTCTCCTTGACTTGTTTCACAAAAGGCGCAGGCAGCAAAGGAAAGAAGAAGACAATCATCAGACCAGAAGCTGCTGTAGCCTGCAGCACATTTAAATGCTTGGCTATCGGCAGGGCCATGGTCAATGAAAACCACGTCCACTGATAATTATATAACAGCGATGCATGTGTGATCATTTGTTCGAGATCATCACTGACGTGGAGGACCTGCATCCGCTCACCTCCTTCTGCTCCACCTGCAGCGCCGTCTTCAGGACGTCTCGCAACTGAGTCAGCTGCTTTCTCTCCTCGTCCTGCACCTGCTTTATCTGTCACGGAGGAAAAGGTGGAGAAAACGGGAGAAACAGACCACGTGTTGATGTTCGTATGATACAGGCGTCACCGCCAAGTGAAGGGAGGACCATAGCGGAGCAGCTGGTTCTTCTCACCGTGTGCAGATCCGTGGCCAGTTTTTCTATGGAGGGTTTCAGGTTGTCCACAGCTTTCAGGCCGTCCTGAAAGAAACTGAGCAGCGAGCGCGTGAATACAGCGAAGCACAAACACGCCGACACCAAAGCGAAGCCACAAAGTGGTTCCGCCTTTAAAATGCGAGAGGCTCATATCGTATCTGTTGGCCTTACTTGCACTGTGCGTGGAAGTACTTGATGAGGTTCTGCAGCAGGTCCACCCCTTTCTTGATTTTGATCTCATTGACTTTGAGGAGATACTGTAAAACATATTGAATACAGATTCCGTCAGACAGGGTGAGGCCAGGTTCAGACCATCTCGAAACACATACTTCCCTTTCATCTCGTATCCAGACGCTTCAAAGCAAAAGTCCATCTTTCAAGTAAAACTTGATCTAAGCACAACATCAAAAGAGGTCCAGACCGCCAAAAAATCATTCAATGTAATCTGAATTCCAAAAGACTATTCTGAGATGTATGACCTTTAGCTAATTTTGACAGAGCTTTGCAGGACCTTTAGTCAGTAAGGTATTTCTTTCCCAAACTTCTACGTCGTTCTAAGAGGTTCCATTTTTAACGTTGTGCATATTCAATTTTTACAATTACACATTCATGAAGTATTACTTCTTCAGCGAAGACATTTAAACACACCGCAATGACATTTTTCGTCGACTAACCTCACACATCTGCAGCTGGAAGAACCTCCTCTCCTTCTCCATCTCCTCAGCAATCTCTGCCCCACTGATCTCCGTCCTGATCATCCCGTGCTGCCTCGCATGCTCCTTCTTCTCTTTCTCTATCTTGGTGCTGGTGACAAAAGACATCACAGGAGTCAGAGGGCACATCTGTGACAACACCATCAAAAAAAGTGTGGCATTGTGTAAAAAAAAAAATCAGCCCTATTGCTATCCTGCAGGTCCCGGGGGGGGGGGGGAGGGGGGCTTGCCGGTGAAGTCCCCTGAAAAGTCTATGGCTTCTAATGGTTATGGGTTACAGATGGTTAGTGTTGACTGGGATTTGGGAGGTTTGCAGTGTAACAGTAATCCAGGCATGCAGGTCTTTCAAATTCAAAATGAAGACGTACGTTAATTTAAGATCAGCTGTCAGGTACCTTTTGTTATTTCTCTTTCCAATAACAGAGCTAAAGACGCCTTGACAAGAGTCATCACCCTTAATGTACTGAAATAAACACTCAATTTGCTCATCTGGCTAATTGCACTGATGCAATACTTTCTCACTGATCATGGCAAGTTGACCCGGAACATAAAGCGGGCAAAAATCCAAAAGATGTCAGGAGGTGGAGAATACATGACTCGCAGCTTTATTCACTGAGTTACTGTCTGTTTCTATTATTTCTATGCATAGTTGTGTAATATTAAAGTGGAGCCAATACATTAGTTTTCAGTGTGGATTTTAGAGTTCATCAGTAGTAAAAGATTTTGCTTCAAGCAAAAGATTACCCGACAGTCAGTTTTTAGGGCTGATTTTACCCAATGACCACAGACTCTGCATACAGTATCTCTAACAGGCAACATACACACTGAGGGGAGGCACCAGGCCATGCAGCAGAGCATTCTTTTCCGTGTGCTGTTTTTTCTGACGGCATATCTCCTGGAGAAAGGATGCAGCAGTTTGTTCCCGCTCAGAGAGACATTCAGCCCCGGTCATGTGCCTCAAGACAAACTCCACTCCCTCGGGTTCGACTGTGGGATCCATTTGACCAGCAGCTACGCTCGGTACACTATGTATGTCTAAAGACATTTGGGGGAAATACCCTTTATTTGCTTTGCTTTGCTTTTTTTTATTTTTTATTTAGATAGAAATCCAAGAGGGACGGAGTATGTCTGAAAGTCGTCTGAAAAAGCTTTGATTGTATATTTGCAGTTTTGCCAGTGCGTACAAGCCAGATTTCATGTCGTTGTCAGCACATGGATCTGTATCCCCCGACAAGGCTGCAGCATCATCAGCGGTGCGACTAATAGAGAGACGCATGTTAGTCGGGCTTTTTGGCAGACAGCCAAACGGAGAGTGGTTCAACTAAAGATGGCCTGAGAATCCCGTCACTCTCACCTCTGTCAGTTCAGGAGGGGATTCATCCATTATGGAATCCAGACGGAATAATTTGGAGACTTTTAAGACAGATCTCGGATCGAAATTCAGGGAAGAGTTGTTGGATTTGAGTAATTACAAAATACTCTTCCTGAATTGACAGAATTCAAAGTGACAAAACCCCCAACGTAAAGATAGAAAAAAAGAATTCAAACTTGGGTGTCATATGTAAAGAGCTTGCAAAAACAAATTAGCGATAGACAAATCAACGCTGTGCTGCGGCAAAATCATTTATCTTTTTGTGTCTCAGCACATGAACAGCAGAAAGCAGAAGATCTCGAAGACCAGAGGAACTTTGATGAAGAAGCAAACAAGACACATCGGGCCGTTTTCCAGTCGGACAGAAAACTGGACTATATTGATGTCGTCTGTTGTCCATCAATAGAGTCAAATCATTACAACAATTTGGGACGGTCAGGAACAGTCACATATCATCCGGCTGAGCTCTCGAGGTCAGTACAAAGCCGCTGCTGTCTGAGAGGAGCTGTATTACCCTTTCAGTAAAGAATGTCCTTTGCAGCTTGTAAAATATATGAAAGTGCTATAAAACGTCATGTGTTCTTTGCAGGGACAATCACAGTGGCTCAACAGTGGAAATGGTGTCCGACGGTGGAGGTGGAGGAGTGATGGTGAGTGAGACATTATTGAGGATGTGTTGACAGATCATTATGGGGGGGGGGGTTAAGGTAAGAACTGGTTAGTTCAGACAAGACACATTTCAATACAACTACTAACTGACAAGTTAAGACTAGTTTGACATGCTGCTCAATTCCAGATGGAGGATGACTGGGCACAATTTTACTTGCCAATAATTGGTTCTATTCATAGAAAAAGTCAATGAAAAGCCGTTGAGTTAGGTTAGGTTTCTTACACTTTGGTTTCATAGTCCTTCCATGCTTTGTCAAACGGCTTTTTCAGATCCTGTGGAAAAAAAACAAACAAGCAGAAAGCTTAAATTAATCCACAGAAAATGACTCAAAACCCCTTTTTGATATTAATGAAAGCTCTACAATAATAATAGTAATAATAATAATAATAATAAATAAGTGGACCACGCGGTGAGACTTTGTAGAGGAAAGAAACAACCTCAATCTCAACAATTTACATATTTCAATCATTGCTTCAATTAGGGCTGCAGGTATGGCCAAAAATCCCTATCACGGTATTAAGAAAGATTCTGACGGCGTCCCGGTATGTCACGGTATTGCTTTTTCCAAGTAAACACATTATTTCATTAACGCCGAACATGACCGCAGCTACCCGGATAGCTGTTCGCAACTAGCCTGTGAGTTGGCTTGTTAGCTCGTTATCGTGTTAGTTCATTAGCTGGTTAGCGTGTTAGCTTGGGTGCATCTCTGATCTCTCGTTATTCCTCCTGTACCGCTCTTTTCCCTGTTTTCATGTAGCAACAGTTACATGATTTACTAAGAATTACTTCTTGTTGTGAGCTGTACACAGCAGGGTCGTTTTAATAAAAGTACAATTATTAGTGTTATAAATTGTTTATGTGTCACAAGCTGTTGTATTGTGGTGTTTTACCCCGTTAAAGAGTGTTTGTTGTGGCTTTTTCATTGTTGTTATAAAGTTAGAACCATGACTCAATCTCAACACACGTAACAAGTAGGTCCGACCACCGGCTGCTCCTCGATGACGTGTAAATCTTATACCGGTTTAGCGTTTTAACCAGTACACCGTGCAGCCCTAGTTTTAATTGGGAAAGACAAATCCCACGCGACTTTTCTCCGTTTCATATCAGTGAAGTTGTGTTTTTTTGCATTGGTAACGCGACCCCTCACGTCAGCGACGACTTGTCTCATCACCGCGGTTGTGCTTTCAACAGCTGCTGGAGCAACGCGCCTGATTAAACAACACCCCGCTGTGGTGCTGATTGAACAGGGTTTGTGACAAACTAAAGCAGACGTCACTGCGTGCAATTGGCTGTCTCATTCCTAGAAAATACAATTCAACCCAAATTAATTGTTGCCTGAAAACCAGAGCACCAAGAAACAGCATGCGACCATAAAAACAATCGATAGAATTATATTCAAATTCCATTTCAAATAGTCCACAGCGAGCAGCTACTGCGCCCTGATCATGGACAACATTCAAACCCCAAGCGGCACTCTGGCTTGCGCTGCGTCTGTGTCCACGAGTGTGAAAAGCCCGCAGATTCTTGTCCAGCTTGACAGACAGCTTATGGCTTTAGTGCATTGTTCGAGCTCCGGAGAGGCCCGTGATCCCGCGGTTGACCTCTGCTTCAACAGCAGAGGCTCAACCTGTTGGCCCACATGATCGCAATCTGGTTCACTGCATTCAGCTCAAGGGCAGGAACCACCGGGGGGAAAAGAGAGCATAAAAGACAATAAGGAAAAAAAGAGGAAGCTGAGCACCAAAGTAAAAGAATAAAGTGGTGGCTGCTGAAAGAATAAAGAATGAACTGTAGGTCAATAGAGAAAAGAGGGGCTGAGCGAAGGGAAATGTCAGAGCCAGGAAGAGGAGAAAAATGGTAACAACGGCTAAAAATACCATAACCAGGCATCACTGGGCTGAGCAGAAGAGGCCAAAGCAACTCCCAGAGAGACCAGCTCGCTCTCAGCGACCCGATTCCCGGCCTGGCTGAATCCAAAGGACGGAGGAGGAATGTCACGCCATTGACCGGGGCCCCCACTTTCACCAATGTTTGACTTCTTCCTACCTACGGCCAGACGTGTCCAGGAATAGCACTTCCTGTTACACATTCCACACACCTTCTCCCACTGCAGTGATGAATGCATCCCAAAGATGTTCAATTCAACATCACAGCAAACGAAAAAGCAGAATCAAGCTGGAACCAAAGACTTGTCTTTTGATTAGATGCAATGTATAAAAAAACCCGAATTGGACAATTAACTAAATTCATTTAGTTAGCTGACTGGATATTGCTTTGGATAATCCACAGACCAAGGAGAGTCTTTCTGCGTAGTTCAGTTTGTTTGTCCTGTCCTTTTTAGTGCCACAAACCAGCTCCGTCATATTAGGGGGCGGGTACAGAAAACCAGGACACAAAACATCTCAAAACCTGAGCAAAGAAAACCAACATCTGGGAATAAGTGCTTTGTTATAAATTAGCTGGACTGACTGGATCTGAATGGATCTGAATCTGCAACCAAAGCGGTTCGCAAAAGCCCGGTTCATTCATTCTCAAAAGGAAACTAATGATGCCGCTGATGCTTCAGTCGATACCGGAGTGAACAAACTAAAGAGGAAAATCCTGGATTTGTAATGTGCGCTTATCTGAAATGTCAAACAGCGAGCATGAGAAAAGAGCGCAGCATCCCAGAGTCCCCCTCTTCACACACAATGGCAACAGCCCAGACACTAATGGAATAGTGATAAGCTGATATGACTCACGGCGGGTTACAATCACAGACCGCTCCGCGAGCAGAGGACGAGAGGGTGGGCGCCAGGCGTGACATCATGCGGGGGTCCGTTTCCCGAAAGAAAGCCCGCTGTTGGCAGAAATGGTTTGTGGACTCAGCCCTCTCTCCGCTTCCACGCTGACTGGATAGTGTGTTTAACCTCAGACAAAACCTCGACCGGGTCATCCACCGAACCCCAAACCAGCGTTTCAATGCTGCTGCTGCACTAAGTGAGCTGTAACCAGAGTCAAGTGAAATATTCCTGTCAAACAAAACCTACTCACCGATTTCTCACTTCACCTGTGAAACACGACGTGGCCCAGCCGGGTGAAGAGTTGGATGAGTGACAGCAGTGGCGGGTTGCTAGGTGGTAGCACTCTAATCACGGAGCCATTAGCGGGCCGCCTCCCTCGAGGTTAGTTTATCTCGCTCGTTGCCCAAGACGGCACCGGCAGAATGTTAACGAGCTCCCAGGGAACGGCGGCCAACCAGAAAGCCATTAAGTCCCGAGTCAAATCAAACAATAGGACCGGTGGCTACTTCAGCTGCCACAAAGCTGCGGTAATTGTGGAGCCTTTAAAAAAAGATACCAGATTGCTATTTTATGCACTGAAAGAAAATTAAATATGTATAAAAAATACTTTTAAACACTTTTATGCAGAAGGAGCTTCTCAGAAAAGGGCTACGGTTGGTTCAGATCAATCGACTCAAATGGTATTTTGGGATCATGTCCAACAAAAATGGAGTTTTAAAAATGTGAATCATGAAGCACACACAGCTCTTTAATATCAATAAAAATATCTCTCAATGGCCTTTTCGAAACACATCCCTCTTAAATGAGATCCATATCAACCCATTACTTCCTCCTACTCCTTTTCTCGGTGCAGTCCAAACAGACTTTTAATGTAGGTCTGGACTCCCCGCTCTCCCAACAGGTACTTCCCCCAGGAGAGGACAGGTGTGAGGAGGCAGGATAATGACAGAGGAAGAGGAAGATGATGAAGGGGGAATGGACGGACGAGGGAAAAGCCTGTGTCTGGAGCGGCACTTTAAGGGACGGCTGTAGCACTGAACAAAGACAAACGAGAGAAATGAGACATCATTTTATTTCTCTTCGTTCCCATTGATGTGTCTGTGTGTGTGTGTGTGTGTGTGTGTGTGTGTCTGTGTCCTGCAGGTATGAAATAACCAGCAGCTCATTAGCCCCCCGTCACTATGGTGATGAGAATCATCACAGGGCTAATGAGCAGTAAGTGGCTATAGCATTACAGAAGTGGGTGAAGAGGCGGGCAGGAGGGACAGAGTGAAGGTGACAAGGAGGGTAAGGATGAAGGGAGAGAGAACTAAAAAAAAAGGAAATCACACGAGAAGGTCCAAAAAGGAAACACCAGCACACTGGACGAACAAAAGAGAAGGGGGAAAAAAAAAAAAGAGGGTGCCAGACAGTTCAGAGGTCAAGACTGAGCCAAGCGGTACCGTGTCACGGGGACAACCAATATTTCTATGGCAACCAGCGTCATTAGAGAACCGGCTTAATCGCATCATACCCTGAAGCGGGCAGCCAATCACGTGTCGGGAGAGTGAAAGGTCACAGACTGCCGCGGACATTAGCGGGCGCTGATTGCATTACAGGGCAGCAGAGAACGTTAACGTGCGTTCGTCTGGTGGACGCACATGACCGTCTGACGGCTGGCTGCCAAACTGTCAGGCGCTAAAAGCCTGCTCAGCTTTGCCGTTTTGTTTACTTTATTCTCTGATAGGGAAAAAAAACAAATGCTGTGACCCTGGTTTCTCAAGTCTGGACAAGGAGAATAGATGAAAGTTCTCCATCCTGTCAACTAATAAAATGCATAAAACATCCCCAAAATTACAAATTTCCTGACATACAAGGTTATTTTAATGTGTTGAATTCTAGGTTGAATTGTGTGTTGAATCTTTTGTTATATTTTACAGAAACATATTTTAATGATAGATATTATTAAAATGAACATTAACATGATAAAATCCAATGTCTTGCTGGTAAAACGGGTCCACCTCGCTGCTACACGCAAAACAATGCTAAATGAATTTCGACCTTGTGCAAAAACCTTCTCATCGGTTGTGGTGAGCAATCACAAGCTCACACTTCATTCAGCATACATTGTATTTCACTCATTTCAGGCCACACACTACGACTTAAAACCCTCAGTTCATAAATTGCTTTTGTGGTCAGCGAGACGATTTGGGGCGTCGCGTCAGATCGCTTTGCACCGGCAGATTAAAGCGTACTGGATGAACTAAATTCATCTCGTAGAACGCTCCCCGGGAGGTAGAAGAGGAACACACAACACCACGCCGTTTGGTTGCCTTACCCCTTTGACTCCCTTCAGGTCTCCTTTCAGCAGGCTGTCCAGGGGAAAGGTGATGATGTTGTTCATGTTTTGGAACTGGAGGAGGGCGAGGAGAGAGACGGAGAACAGTTGGAGGGTTAAAAAAGGTGGAATCCTTTTAGTGCCTTGTGCTTCTGCTGGGTGTCCAAAAGAGAAAGAGCTCAACGACAGAGGGGAGGCACTTAAGTTTTTGACTCCTGTTTTCTTCAGAAAATGATGGTGACGAGAGGCGGAATAAGCTAAATGAGGGACGACAGGTTAATTATAGTTTTCCAAATTTTGGACTAAAAAGTTTTCACCCTGGACATCATCTTTTAATCGCGTGTGGTTTATGTCTACGATTGACAGATTTCTTTTCTGTATTTGTGCCACAACCCCCACAAGTGAGGAGGACCCTCCTATGAGCTGCCGAAAGAGACACTGACTTTTTGTGCGACTGCACCTCGTGCGTGGAGCTGCTCATGTGATTGAGGGAGGCGAGAGCTTGCTAAAGCCGGGAGGGATTACATCTTCACGTCAGGCTCCGGGCGGAAGCTCATATTTCTTTATATATGTAACCTAACATAAAATCCCAAGCTCCTGGTCTCAGGGTGAGTCCACACGGTGTCTGGGAGGCAGCGACAGACCACATGTGATGGTGTCATGTTTTTGCAATAAAGGCCTCAATGCAAAACCTGGCTTTAACAGATCGGGTTGACTTAGATCCTGAAGATATTTGGTGTTGCAGCGGCTTGTTGGCCGTCTCAACGGAAAAACTAGAGCTGCCTCCCTGAGGGCTTCAAGTTCCAGCTGGACTTTGTGTGTGCGTGTGTCCCACAATTAGAGAGAGTAAGTCTTTGTTTTACCCCGATCCTTTGACACACACTCACCAGGTTCTTGAAGAGCGCAGTGAGCTCTTTGGTGAAGACAGAGAACTTGAGGAAAGCTGAACCCAGATCAGGATCATCTCTGTACACACAGTTTTCTCCAAACTTCTCCAGGGCCTGCGTGTACTGCTCCTCGTTCTCTACATGGGCTGGAAAACACACAAAACACACAGGTCAGTTTTGAAAAGGTTATTTAACTTTGTTTCAAGACGACTCCCCGTCACAGCGTATTAATGATGTACGCTACTTTCAGCGAACAAGGACCCACTTTCTGCCGATCCTGCCCACTATTGATTGAGCCGTGTGTCTCCACCTTTCCCCCCACATTGCACATGCTACTCAAAACATCCATGTATATATCTATGTATATATATCTATGTATATATATCTATGTATATATATCTATGTATATATCTATGTATATATATATATATATATATATATATATACAGATGTATTTACATATATCATCCTACTTCTTTGTTTAACTGTTGTTTTTATCCACAGTTTGGATGGTTATGATCTTGAAATCCCTCCCTCCATCTCCTTTTCCTCACCTGTATTTGCTTTTGACAGGAAAAATAAGGGAGTAAATAATATTTGGATTCCAAATAGAAACTGTGAGGCATGACTAAAGAGAAACAAACGGCAGCACAGGATGTCTGAAGGTCCTGGAAGAAGAATCGTGCCCCCCCCACCCCCAGAGGGAGAAACCTTTAAAAAACGTCTGTGATTGAAGTCTGGTGTGTCTAAAGTAGACTCGATCCAGTACAGCGTGAAGCCGCCACGATTCCACTTAATTCACTCCACACTAGGCAGCTGATAACAGCTAATGCCACTGGGACAGTGGCAGAGAAAGGGATGGGGCACTGGGGACTGTTGCTATGACAACGGTAACTAAGAGACGTGACAGACGACCAAGAGGGACGGGGTGGGGGGGTTAAGGGTGGTGTGACGGAGGAGAAAAGAAAAGAAAAAGAGGTTTGAACTAAAGACACCTGCTGTCACAACACACTCCGCTTTTCCTGCGCGCACACACAAACACACAAACACACGGCAGGTTTATGAAGCTAAATAGGCTCATGTTTCTGCTGCAGAGATATCAATCATGTTATTAAAAAGGGGAAAGTGGAAATCCTCTGAGTCACTAACTGCCGACCTTCTCGCAGCAGAACAATCTGATTTAAACCACCGCTGAGCTTCATGATTTCGCTCCTACGAGACTCGGAGTGCAAGTCGTAACATTTCAGTTTGTGAACGGTGTCAATTACCAGAGAGTTTCTTTTACATAGTGACAGGAAACAAAAAGCTGCTTAATTAATATCAAACAATACAATTTTCACATGACTATTAAAATGACAAAATGATTGTTAATAATTTTCTGTAGATTTACATATTTACATTACCGGACATGAATGCCTGACCAATACTAAAATATATGGAATATATGTAATTCACTGCATACAGATGTTGGCATGGCCAAAATAATAATTTGCATTTAAACTGTACTTCTTCTTGAGTCTGGTAACAGACATGGTTGGTGAGAAGAAGAAGAGCATTTTATTCTGCTGAAGTGCCTTTGGATCAAAGCAGTGACTTACGAAGGTCTAACAAACCTCAGCCATGTGTCATGTGTCAGACACCAGGCCTCACTGCGCACCCGCAGCCCGCCGTTTACACATCAGCTCCAGCTGTTTGGCAGCCGCCGTGCCTCTGGCTCTGGGCCCGACGGTCAGCGCTGCCGTGTGTGAAGCGGCACGTGAGAGCTCTCCGCTCTGCTGTTGGATGCCAACGCACCCCCCCCTCCCCCCCGAACCCTCCCCGCCCCTCTCCCCGGGCTGCTGAGTGAGTAACGTGTATTTGCTGTAACATGACCAAACACATCCCACATGCAGTCTGCAGAGAACTTCAATCGCCAGCGTTGCAGTTTGTGAGAAAGAGGGGAGGGAAAGAAAGAAGGGAGGCACGAGGGCTTTTCTTTAGCTTACACTGAAAACAAAAAGCGGCTAATTGAGTTCTCTCCGGCATGTTGCCTAAACATCTCCACTAACCTGGTATTCAGGGGCTGTCTGGAGGAAACATGGGCTCTGCGTGGTTCAGTCCGAAATTTTTTTTTAAAATCTGCACCGTGTTATCGGTTATTTTTATCAAAACTGTGACAACGTTTTTCTTTGGCTGATTTTTCTAGTGTGTTGCTTTTAAGGAAATAACTAATTAAGAATTCATCCAAGAGCTCAAATTAACTTCAATTAACTTATTGATTGTAATTTCGGACTAAATTAACAAATAATTGAATGCTGGTTGTTCGCCTGCATTTGCGCCATTTATCTACTCACCTTTTTATTGGACACACTTTGTGTTCAGCGTTTGTTTTTTTAGATATAACAGTTTCTGCTTGAGAGAAATGTTTAGACTCGTTTTAGCTTGACCTCAGGAAACGATGACCTTGCACTTGCTGGAGGAGCGAGGACATGACGCGGTGGAACTACATCAACACACATGTTTACAGCCCACATAAATGCCGCACTTATATACAACATCCTTTACTGTATCTTCCCCGTCAACACAGAGGGGAAAAAAGACCCATAATAAACAGCTTGCAGGCTGTTTTTGCAGCGTCTTGTATCGCTCTTTTTTCCCTCCTTACACACGCCAACAGACACACACAGGGATTAATCCCAAGGTTCCTCTCCGGGTCTCTTCCCCTCACTCGGCTCCATCAGACCCGGTCGGCTTACGCTCCGACGCTCACTAACACAATGTGTGGCCGACGGTAGATTAATTCAATTATCTCTCCCCAGACTGAGAAGACGACACTGGGACCCACGTCCACTTGCCCTGAAAGAAGTGGACTTTTTACCCACAGAAGACCTCGTGCTTTGTTTAATTGTCTCATGTCCTCCTTTTGCTCAGACGCTGATCCACTGTAGTTCCTGTGGAGGTCTCATCGTGTTGGTTAACTCGCAGCCAAGAGAGAAACGTGCGAGCGGAAGCACCAGGACCCCCCGGATGTCTTCACATGGATCGGGGTGCTGTATTATTAAGCGAGTCCCTCCGGCTCAGCGGCAGGAAGACGGCGTTATCTGTTCGGCAGCTTTGGCAGGTCTGTCCAAGCGGCTGTGCTCAATGACCTCCAGGTTTTACCATTTCTTTTTCATGCTTTAGTTGCTGCTGGTTTATTCATCCAAGCCCATAGTCTGACAGGCTGACAGGCCCCTGCAGCAACACGGGGTTCTCCCGCTCACCTGTACAGCTTTCACAGTCTTTTCTGTTCCCATTTATTTTTTCTATCTGTCTGGTACGAGGTTCCTCTGCTTGCTCAGCCTCCTCGTTCTAACCCAACCTCCATCTTCCCCTCACCTCCACATCATTAGTCTTCCTAACGTCATAGCCAGTAAAGTATGCATTTTTTTATATGCTTACTTCCGTTTCTCTGAGTATTGAGGAAGTCAGTGGTGCCCCCCCCGTTGTTAGCCTCATTATTCGGGCTTCATCCTGGGATCCTCTTCAAAGAATATTAATACAAATTCTGTGCTTTTCCACTCTGCTTCGGCAATGCTTTTCATATTTTATCACGATTTATGCAATTATCTGTTAATCAAGATCCCTCATTGGAACACATATCATTGCTATTTTTCATTCAAGTGGCAAAAAAAAAAACATCTATGCAAAACAAGTCACAGTGTGTGCAGCTTTCCTAAATGATAACTAAATGTGACCTCGGGTAACGGCAGTTTTGCTTAAAAGATCTGAAAATAATGGCATTCCCAGTTTCATTTCCATCATCAAAACAATGTTTCTTCTGGACTAATTGAAGGTAATCTGGACGAGCTTCCCACTGAAGGCTAATTTGATTCTTCCCAATTTTGGCAACTGCAGACGATCGTCTTCATGATTAAAACAAACACATGCGTGTGTACCCCGCTGGACTAATCACACAGATTCAAATGAAGGTAATTACTTCAGGGATATTCGCTTTTGGCAGCTGATCAGAAGACAAAGAAAAAGGTTCATTTTGTACACGCACACAAACACACTCACAATGTCAGCCTTCGCGTCATGGGGCTCACACAATAGAGGAAGCAACAAAAAGGGCACATCACGTATGTAAATACACAGTGTGAGGTGACAACGTGAGTGTGTCCATGCCTCAGCAGCCACACACAAACAGTGTGCGCCCCACCCCAGCTGTTCCTTTGGGGGTCTGGATCAGACAGCTGTCCCTCTGGTCTGAACAGAGCTCACACTGTTCAGAAAAAGACGTGCTCAGCACATTGTTCAGAGGTCTCCCTCTCTCTGTCTCACTCAGCGGGGTTCTGTCAGGCAGGCTGGACAAAGGACGCTGGAAACACTCTACACTAGCACAAGCATTTGAAAATTAATCTATTGCGCGTTTCCCTGCAAAGATGAGCAAATGGAAACCGGCGCCCATGAGACAGAGGAGAACTCACCTAAACCAGACGTGTAGATGGCCTTCACAGACTTCTTCATCTTGTGCAGAACACTTCGGTCCACATCCAGAGCCTGTGCAGACATAGAGATCACGTTAGAGGCGAGGCAATCCTTGAGTTGCGTGAATTAATGCATTGAGGGTTTTTTCAAGTTGTTCTAAGAATTGTGTCGTTTTCAAAGAAAAAAAAAAAACACGTTGGTTTTGGATCGCGGATGATTCATTCTACGGTCTGACTGGTTGAGTAAGAGCGAACAGCTCTGGAGTGTTACACTCTACGTCTGCTTTGTGACATTATACTGTTCAGAGGTCCCAGTTTGTGTTGTTTCCGTCCTGAGGTGGTTCTCCTGCTTTTGGGGTCCACGCCCCGAATACAGGCCTCCGTGTGGTGGGTTCGGTTTGTGTGTGTTTCTCTGGGTCACCTCCATTCCGGCTGCAGTTAATAAATTATTCAAGGCAAAGCCAAGAATAGAACTGAGCTCCAGCATTGCTTTCGTGTCGTGTGCGTGTGTTTGTTTGTGTGCGTTCATGAATTTACACACACACACACACACACACACACACACACACACACACACACACACTTTTGCATGCATTTGGCCAGAGACACACACACACCAACCAGAACAAACACTGGGAGTCCAGCGGAGACAATGCAGCACTGTACCAGTGAGGGGTGAGGCGGTCTCGTAGGATGAGGGGGATTTCGGGGAAATTAGTTTTTAGGGACTTTATTAAGTTTGTCTGCACAACCGGGCGCCACTTTTCCCTTCGCTACTCCCCATCTGACCGACACGTATCAAATCCCCCTAGACCCGAAAAACACACAATGGCCCCATTCAGCTGCAACGCACACACCAAAACTGTAGAAACCCACACGGTCCTCTCTGCAACCCCGCGGGTTGTAGTGACAAAGTGTAAGGAATACACCAATCTGTGCGGCATTAATAGGCCAGCTACGAGCTTGATGCTAGCGCCTAATGGAAAAAACACTCAGCACTTAGATTCCCATTGGAGGTCATGATTCACACTCATAGATACACTCGTGCTTGCACAGATGCAGCTCAGTGTCTGAGTCAGGTCGGTCGTTGAGTGTTTTTGCAGTAGGGAAAAAAAAAAATAGATAAACACACCAGAATCAGGTGATCTCGAATCTCGAATTTCCAATTAGGCTGAATGAGGACAGTAGGATGATAATCACTATCCAGACATACGATTGACCCAATCAGCCATTTTCACAAAGACATTTTGAAATGTCACAGTAGGGAAAAGTACAGGTGTATTGGTCCCAAGTATGAGTAAAACATACAAATAAAACCTGATGAGACGTTTACAAATGAAAACAAAGCCAACCAGAAGCCACTTGTTATTCTGAGTAAAAGGAAAGACTCGGCGGCGCCTGCGTTCAGTTCCTTCTGTTAAACGACTCATCCGTCTCACGTGCCGTTACCCAGCCAGCTCCGACAGACGCCGCAACTGTAGCTCAGACCCCACACAGTCATGCGTGTCTGTGTTCGGGTAAAACGGGTTTTAGCGTCACAAAACCCAGACGAGTGAGAAAAATACAGCCGCGGAGAAAATCCTCTCCGTCTCTCCACCGACAAACCCGTCCGACCACACAAAAGCCTTTTTAAAAGCGACCGAGTGTTTTCTTAGCTGAGCTGGCACCAACTCAGCCTCTGCTCCCGACGTTAAATCGACTCAAGGGTAGTCTGCGCCAACGCCTTGAGAGAACTGAAAGCGTCTCTGCAGGGAGCCGAGCCTCTGTTAGACAGGAGGGGGGGTCGCCAAAAAAAAAAAAAGAGAAGAAAAACACAGTGAGGGGTTTCCGTTTGACCCCACTGCATGCATGTGTAATTCTGTAATAGCTGGACATCTCATAGAACGTTATCGGCCCTTTGTTTCAGTACTGCAGGCAGCAATTTCTAAATGGGCCTGACCCCCCAACCCCCCGCCCCCGTAATTTATTGATGGATTATTTGATGCTGCGAATGCGTTTGGTGAGGAGCGTGTGAGGTCAAACAAGGAGCGACTCAAAGCATTAAGCGGTGTTCAGCAGCTGAGTGGTGCAAACAATCAATGAGCTGCCAGAGTGGGTTTCTTTCAGAATTTGAATCAGAACGGCAGATGATTGAACGTGGCATTAATGTGGAGTTTTTTAACTCTGTGTACAAAAGTACAAATGAAACCAACTGAGGCGGGCTGCCCGGCAGCATTGTTGATGATTTTGTGGAGGGAGTTAAATGGACCAGAGATTTACAGCAGTCTGCTCCCTTTGTAACTAGAGCGTTTGGTGCAAATGCTGCACCGCCGCGTTCAGATGGCAGCTGTGTGTTCTGCTCTCGGGTCTCAGAAGTTCCTTTTATCTGTGTCAATGTGAAGCAGGCTTGTGTTAAAACGGAGCGCGTCCTATCGGATTGTCTGTACAAGATTGAAGCGGCTAAACGCTGCAAAGTTATTCAAAAGGTTGAACTTGGAAAACAAAACGATTGATAGATTTTACATTATGAATGGTTACCAACACCCTGTTGTAGCGACAAGAAAAGGCTCCAAGCCCCTACTTGACCTCCACATATCAGTAATGAACCTGTGAATCAGTCTGACCAGTCGAAGCCTTAAACACACACACACACACACACACACTATCACGCTCCAGCAGACCCTTTCAATCATCACAGTGGTCTCTTTTCACACACACAACATTCTCATATGCTCTCCAGGGTTCAGCAAAGTGACTCTGGGCCACACACAATGTGCGAGCTCTCTTATTCGCAGCACTAAAACATCTTTTAACCCCCACCAACAAAAAAAAGAATTCACAGCGAGAGGGGAATTCCTCTCGCCGCGCGGCTTTCCGACAGCGCGGGACCAGAGCTGAATCATCATCGCACAATAGACCTGCGAGCGTGGAGCTGCTTCACACAAGCACACTTCACATGAGGCGAATGCAGTGTCAGCGTTTTCCCGACAGCAGCTCAGAGTACAGCGACCACAATGCCTCTTCATTGTCCTCCTGCCGAACCGAACAGGAATAATCCTCTTATTAACGCGTCCGTCATCATCACTATCAGTGAGATTACGATCATGCGCCATCTGCCAATCTAGAGAGGCGACCACGATGCTGCCGGCTTATGGTCAAGCATTCACCCGGACTGTAGTAACGCGTGTCAGGTGTCCCTCTGAGCACTATCTGGCGTGTGTGTGCATGGACAGACAGAGGGAGGGTCGGGGGGGGGGGGTTGTGTAAATCTAATTAAAGTTTCACGGACAGAATGCAGCACAAGCGGACTCTTTTACATTATGAGAATGTAACGGTTTTCTCGTCTGAATGAGGAAACGCAATTTTTGTAAATATGATGACTACGGATGGATAATGTGAAGCATCATTAGAAAGAAAATAGAGGCTCCATACACACCTCCTGTTTGAGTTACAGAAAACAAAAAGCTGTGCAAGCAGAAAAGTAGAAGATGGATTTCTGTATAGAGTAGCATTTCTGACCGCTGACACGAGACAAAGTGCAGCTGGGAAAGCACGTGGGAGAGCCAGACCAGGTCGGATGAATCCAATGGGCTTGGTCCGGCATTTGTCAAGGTCTTCAAAACCAAAAACAAGAAGGGGAAGCCAAGCTAAACAGGAACAATAAGTCACAGTGCAGCCATTGTCAGTTACAACGAAACATGCAAAAGATCATTCTGGATACCAAGCAAAGGGGGAAAAAATGAATGAATAGTTTGGTCTGTAAATAAGTAATTACAGCTCCACTAGTGTGACTGAAGAAGACAGAGAAACCAAAAGGGATGTTTGTGTGTTTGTTAGACGCAGGAAAGCATCTTCAACAGCGCAAATTATTTTCAATCTACTTTAATCCCTTAAAACAAAATTCGCCTCAATGAAAAAAGGCCATTCTAAGTATTCCAAAACACGTTAGCTTAAGGTGATCTTCACATGAAGCCAGAAGTGGCGAGGAAGAGGGCAGGCCGCTGCTGACCACAACAAAAAAAGTGTAGCCCTCCCCTCCTCTTCCTCCGCTGGCTGAAGAAGAAAGACATTCCTGGATGATTGCACGCCGGTGCGACTGACAGACGAGAGCAAGAGAGCCGGCCCCCATTGTTGCCGCCGACCGACTATCTGTGTATGACGGCACGTCTGCTCGACGAGGGCTCAGGGCCCTCCCGCTCAGGGCCCTTCACCACGCCGAATCCAAGAAATCCTCCCCATTTGTAACTATCGGCATCACCACACACGTGTTTTTAGCGGACACGCACACACATGTCGGTTGTGTCTAGTGGCTCTTTGCAACTCGTCTTCTAACCTCAAGCCTTTAAGCCCCACAACAGTGAGAGTCATGTGAGGAAACAGGCTGTGGGCAATAAGAAGGCTGCAGTCTCAGAAATCATTGTGGGATTTATTCTGTGCGTGTGTGGGCACAGTGTCTGTGAAGGCTGTTGTGGGTTGTAATCCATGCGTTTAATGGAGGTACCAGACAATCAAACTTCAAACTCAAAGAAACTCAAAAAGGCAAGTACTGAAACATCTGAGAGTGTGTAAAACGCTCTCACACACACACACACACACACACACACACACACACACACACACACACACACACACACACACACACACACACACACACACACACACGGAACATTTAGAAAAAAAGGCCTGGTTTTTATTTGTAAGTGGGCAAGACTTGACATTGCGTTAATCACATTTATTCCAACACAGCACCGTTTAGTGAAGCGTCAAAAAGTGAAAGTGGATCTCTCAGCAGCTACGTTGAGCTCTTTGATCGATTTTCAAATCAATCAATCGTCCCTTTCAGGGGAAAAAAGGGCTCAAAGAGCTGAGGCTGGAGCCTTATTTCAAGGAAAGGATTTTCAATTTATGAGACTGAATGTTCCATTAAGGACCGATTATACCAGTGCAATACACAGTCAACAGGGCTTTCCACCTAACCCTGCCTCCTGCCTCCTCCTCCTCCTCCTCCTCACAGCACGGCACTGTTGGGTGTTAACAGGGAGGAAATATGATGTCGATGCAATACACCACAACTCGGTTTCCCTGTACAGCAGC